CAATACCACCCGTCGCTAAATGGTAGGCCATGGCCTTCGATCGTCGAAAAGATCCTTAGGTATCTTAAAGTGTTCCCGGAAACAAGACAGATGCATCCTACCAGCGTCGCGGGACCATCTAAACCCAGAGCTGAAAAGATGCCCCGGTTGATGAAATGACGGACGAGGACCTTTTGGCCACAAAGCAGAAGATTGATGCCGTATTAACGGAACGAGCAGAAAGGTCACGGGCCAGCTCGGTTGCAGGATCAGGACGTGGACGTACTAGTTCGGTCACAGAACCATCCAGTGGCACCACGAAGAGTGGAAAAGAGTGAGATCACCGACGACAAGCCCAAAAGAAACTGATAAGAAAGGGCAGCGAACAAAGAAGCCCACAGAAAGCAAAGCAACACCAGCTGAGCCGGCAAAGCCACAGGCCCCGATTCCAGTGGGTAGAAAGAGTGTACCACCCACGCCGAAAGGAACAGAAGGTCAGATTCGATTCCCGAAGTGTAGAAGTTTCACGGCCAAGTACACTGGGGAAGATCATAAAGAACGAAAGGTCACTGCACGAATAGTCGATAAGAAAACGAACAAAGAGATCGACTCGTATAATCCCCTCGCGGATAGGTCAGTTATGATGCCATTGGGAAAGAGTCAAAACGGTAGTCAATGAGGCGCTACAGTTTATTCCTCCAGAAGAACGTCATAACCCAAGAGTTATCGTTCAGATGATGAAGCACGTGGTATCTAAAGTTGCAACCGAAGAAGATGCATGGATCCGTATCAAAGTGGGCACAGATGATGACCACTTGGCATATACATACACAACGGACGGCAAACTGTTGATCAAAGAGAGAACTCGCTCAAAACCGACGGCGGATCCAGATCCGAAGAAACGATCGTCAGATGATTATGAGTCGGTCCCGAGGTATACAGAGGCGACAAGCAGAAAGGTCACCCTCAGACTTTTCGCTGACAATGGAGAGGCTACGGAAACCATAACTGCGGTGATAGTTGACCCAATAACAGGAGACCCGGTCCCATATGCCCCATGGGATGTATCAGAAGAGAGCGCCCGAAATGCGAATCAGGCAGCTATTGACCAGCTATGGGGTCTGATACCGGAAAGCGACCGAAAAGATGCCGTGGTTCAAGCGAGCACACTCATCAGCATGATGCGGCATCGAGCGGAGATTGATGGAGCACATTTCCGACTCACAAGACGAATGGAAGATGGAACGTACAAAACGGTATTTTACGACGCTAAGAAGAACCCTTTGTGGGAGGTCGCCTCACAGGGATCTCCGAAAGAGACAAGACACTTGGAAATTCATCCCCCGGCACAAGAAGGCGGAGCCGGAGAGACGGAAGAGGCGCCGGGCACGTCGGCAAATCTAACTGAAACCGGAGGGGCAAGACGTTCTCTACAAAGAGTGTTAGAGATTGCCCAGGGAAGTCACGAGCACCTTCAGTGTGATGAACCAAACTGTGCCTATTGTAGTCCACCTGGTGACGACGAACCAGAGACGGAAGACGATAACCCACCTGAGGAAGAAGGCTCAGACGAAGAAACGGCCGACAAGCATAAAAAGCCCTCAAAAGTCAAGCCCTCAAAAGTCAAACCGAGGAAAGCGCCCAGATTGGAAGAGGCCATGAACCGTGACAAGGTTAAGAAAGGCGATTTTCTCAAGAAACGACGGGAGGAAGAAGATAAGAAGAAAAAACAGGAGGAAGAAGATAAGAAGAAGAAGAGCGGTGACGAAAGCGATAGCACAAGCACCGGGAAGAAGAAAAAAGATGAACCAGCGTCTCATGATGTTGAGATATTGGACGAGTCAGTCGGCGAAGTTGAAGAAAGGTCATCGACACCTACGAAGTCAAAGAAAGTTATTCAATCGGCTACGTCAGAACCGTTAAAGCCCAAAGGAAAGGTCATAGCGGTGAAACAAGCTGTCCCCATTGTCATTTCCGCATCCACGCCAAAGGAGCGCAAGGACAAACAGATTCGCGAAAAAGCGAAACGGGAGACGTCGCGTGAATCGGAGGCATCGGAAGTGAGCCTTCCAAGCACTTCTGACGGTCAGTGCGAGGTCACACACGGACTCGAAAACGACACGATCAAGAACCACCGAACCAAGAAGCTTAGCGGAAGCTCTGGATAAAGGGAAAAAAGCAAAGAGCGAACCCGTTAAGACTAAAGGAAAGGGCAAGACAGTCACGAAAATCGACGCATTAGCGACGGTTAATTACACTGAACCAGATGGGAGAGTGAACTGGACTTCACCTCATGACGAAGAATTTGATGGTCCCGATGATGATAATTTGAACACGGTCGATGAAGTAATCAGAGCGTATAACGGAGCTGAAAAGAATTTCACACGAATAAGAACAGCATCGGTGACATCCAAATTTAAAGCAGGCCTGAAGACGTATTTGAAGAAACAACATCGTAGCTTCACTAAACAAAAGTTCGACGTCGTATTGGAATTCGCGCGGAACGCAGGAAAACTTATACAGAAGCACCCGAGTTTCTCGTATGAGGCCAAGTTGTTCAGACCAGCCAGTTCGGATAAAGCGCTGACAACTCCGAATGAAGCGGTCCCAATGCGAGTAGAAAGGGCAATCGCAGGAATGACAAGCCCATTAGGATCAACGAGTCACCGGATTAGCCAATACATCAACGCAGTTTGGAATGACGGGAATGGGATGATAAAGGAGATCGACACGGCAACCGAGCGTGTATTGCCAAAGTTGATTAAACAGAACGTCCTTGCTACAACAAACGCAAATAAAGGACACCCGATCCGATACACGAGAGTTGGTCTAATACCACCGGAAAGACAGATCCACTGTAATATGTCCGACTGTCAGGATATGGAAAAGGTCACAGTTTCATCGAAGACAAAAGGCCCAATGGACTCGGAATCGGGAAGTGATGACGATACTACAACAACGGCTCCTTCTGGACCTGCGACAGAAAAAGGCGAACAGTCGAAAGGTCATGAGACTTCAGATAAACGGGAGAAAGAAAAGGTCATGCTCCCGATGGATAAGGCAGCGGCAGAAGCTGAAGCGGATTCGGCGCGCCAGGTGTTTCACAAATCACTGTTCATACCATTAAAGGACGTCTTTGAGAAGGAACGATCGAAGTCGGTCGGCGATTTAAAAGGTCAAGAGACTTTGCCACAGGAGGAGAAGAAGACAGCCGAACCAAAATCGGCGGGGTCATCATCAGGATCATTGGCAAAGCTGAGGATCGACGAGACAGCGACAGCTGACCCAACGGACTCGACATCCTCCCAGAAAAGTAGCGGTACACCGGCAAAGGAGGCTACAGATTACATGTTAGGGCCGGCATTGGACGTGAATAATCGTACATGGAACGAAGTCCAGAACGCGCTCCAGATCATCCGAGAAAAAGAGATGCTTGGTACAGACCTGAAGAGACAAGTGGCAATAAATTCGAACGGAAGGTCGTCACTTAACATGACTGAACGAGCTCTGAAACGAGCATATAAGGAAGGAAAGCTGGGATGTAAATACAATAAGGACAACAAAGTCGTTTACTACCTTCCGAAGCAGGGTCAGGAACGAACGCCCAGATTGAAAATGGAATTGGAGGCCTGGAAGATAGCCATCACAGACGTGGCTTTGGACGCCATCGGCGGTACAAATGGAGCGTCATGGAACGACCTTTCGAACTTCATGGCCGTCAATTATGAATTGGGAGAGTTGAATATTGAAAGCGATAAGGAGTGGATTAAGAATGCCGTTGAAGCCTTGATCTCGGACGAAGTGCTTCATATTCAGCCAGATGGCCGAATCGATTTTAAGCCGTATAAACCATCGACGAAAGAATCCGAGTGAACTAATATGAGTGTAATATGCAGCGAGTAATGAACCCTGCATATTACAGAAAAAGCATAAAACAGTTTAAAACGAAAGCGAAAAGTGTTACGAAAGGTCAACTGAAAGCAGTACTAGGACTAATAGAAAAGGTCACAGTAGTCAGAAAGTGCTGATAACGTGAGAAAGGTCACCACGTTACAGTGATAGAAAAGGCAGCAGGAGCTAGGAAAGTCTCAGCTCAGTAACGGAATAGGCGTAAAAATGATAGAAAGCCTTATATTATGGAAAGGATTAACGTCGAAAAGGTTACTATGATGGATTGTTTTATAATTGCAGATTGAAGAGAAAGATGGCACAAAAAGGTCAAGCCCCTTCTAAACGTTCGGGAATGGCGGCAGACATCGATCAGTTTACGGGCTATAATCCAAAGTGTCCGGACTGCTTAAGGAACAACAAAAAGGTTGACAAGAAATTCCCTTGCTACACTTGTATTCACAAGCTGGAAGACCCACATACCGTCACGCTTGTTGGGATCATGGAAGCCAAACGTGGGAACTTGGACGTTTTTCGAAATCTCATAAGCGCAAGAAATTACGGCAGCATCCCAGTAGAAGAGCGAATGCTATTCGAAGATCGTTATCGAGAAGCGATCCGGAACAACGAACCTGGTTGGGATGACACCTTGGAGCCGTTGAAGTGTCCACAGACAGACGCGTATCGGAAGAAATTCGAAGAGGACCAGGAGAAGATGCGAGTTCAGCAAATGGAAGACGAACTCCGCGCGAAAATTAATGCGGAAAATAAGAGGCAAGTGAACAGGCTGCACGAGAGGCGTTGCCCAGTACGTCGGGTTTAGCTGCACCCACGGGCATGGCCAGCCTTAATGAAGACGAAATGCAACTCGTACGACAGTCGCTTATCATTCAAATTGAAACGTTAACGAAAGATCCAGCTGCTATGTCAGACGAGATATTCAAAATGCTGTTGCGGGAGAAGAAACGATTGCAAGACGGGTTCGCGCCGGCACCATACATAAAGAAGGAAGTCGAAAGACGTATGGATGACCTACGTAAATCTCGCCGAACCGAAAGCGATGTGCTGCAAGCACTCAGAAATTTAAACGGGACGAAGGTTTGTTCGACCTCAGTCGCCCCGCATAGAGAAAGGTCACGCGGACATTCACGTGAACATGAACGGATTTCGGAACGACGGAGCGAAAGGTCACGTGAACATTCTCGTGAAAGGACACGCGATTACCACAGTGAAAGGTCACGCGAACGCTCCCGCGACCGAGATTACCGTGGCGGAAGAGGATGGGTGCGCCATGGAGACGAAGTTACGGAAATGAGTATTCAAAAACGGCGTGCGGAGACGTTCCGTGCAGAGCCTGAAAAACAAGGGCATCAGGTGCCGATGGGAGTTGCATTCCGGAATCGCAATGTCAGAATGTCAACACCTGAAAGGTCATGGGACAAAAGACGCGAACATACGCGAAATCGAACGCCTGACCCACAGGATAAAAGATGGCAACAGAGAGCTGCATTTTATGCGACCTTTGACTCGGGCGCAAGTAAAAGGTCATCAAGCACTGAACGAGAAGATTCACCCCCAAAGTATCAGCGGGTGGAGTCAGTGGTTCACGTTGTGGAACCAATTGTGAGCGTCGTACAAGAAGACGATGCGATGGAAGGGACCAGCTCAGTTGTCGAAACCACGTCTCAAGAGAATGTGACTCACCGACGAAATGTGATCTTGGATAGTGACCTTCAACCGGCTTCATCGACGAGTAATGAACCGTCGCAGCCAGTATCAGCAGACCGACGTGAACTGGAAGGTCAAGGCGAACCAGATAATCGTCGCCAAGGTGACCAGCGATTAAACTCCAGATTTAATAACCGACAACCAGAAAGTATCGACATGGAATACAAGACGACTGATATTGATGAACAAACGGTCGAAATTTGTCGATACTTTGGACTTGAGCCGGATTCGGTTGAAGCCAACAAAATTGGCACAATTCTGAGACAGTTGAGCCAATTCCTACTTGACTCGGGTTATGCGAGAGAGATTAAACAAGGAGTGGAACAAGGACTTTTCCGTCGGTTATTCATCCACCGCGATTCAGTACGGGACTGTTATCTCCCTATCAGACGGAATGGGCTACACAGTTTGGTGGATTTAAGTTTATTGGATGTACCGCTGGACACAACTGACCCAATCGGGATGACACAGTTCTACTACAGAGACTATCCCGAACGCCAAGAATACGTGGCTCAGTTTGTTCTACGACATGTGAATCCAGCTTTCAAGTTGCTTGCAGCAAGGGCGTCGATAGGACTACAGGTGGATCCTAAGGACTATGCCGCAAAAAGGATGGGGCAAAAGGTCTTCGCTGCGAGACTGGCACATTACAAGACACAGAACCAATTGGTGTCTAATACCATGAAGGACGACATTCCACCGTTCTTCCGAGCTCATGTCGCTAAATTGGGACAACCGATGGAACATATCAGCATAGCGCATACGGCTCGCAAGGCGCTGAAAAAGTGTAAGACACGAATGGAAAAGGGCAACTTGACACAGCGCCACGCATCCCAAGTTGAAGAAAGGATTAATAAGATCAAAGATTCTCTGGGAAGTGACTACGTTGAACCGGTGGACGGAATCGAAACTTACATTGATGAATTCTTAGTGAAGAAAAGTGACCGTCGCCCAGACCGTGCGCCTAACCAGATGGGACGACGCGGCATACGAAACCAACAGCTGCGGGACAATCTCGCCGACGTGCAGCGTCGATTGGCGGAAGACCCTGATAATCGAAGACTGCGACTCGAAGAAAATGACGCACGCCATCGACTTGAGGCGGTTAAGCGAAGTCGCCAAGGTAAAGGTCGTGGCCAGCGCGAAGTTGACCCGACAAAGGTCATGGAAGTTGACTCAACGGAACCAGTTGACCGAACTTCCGATCGAAACCAACCGGAAAGCGCTAAGAAACGCCCGCCGAGAGATGGCGAGGGCGATTCAAATGAAATGGAATAGTGTTGACCTTTAGGATCACACTATTGAAAGGACGTCTACGGCATTTGTCGGTACGTCACAAAGATGAAAATGGTGTTGTATAAAGGGCGTGACACGTGACATGTTAACATTAACTGTATTTGTGTATTTGTTGTTTGCAGCGTTTATAGCACAGAATTGCCTAAAAGAAATCATGTGGAATATCTATTGGGGTTGAAATTGATTCGGTCTATAAAGCCGGCCCCAAGGGAGTTAGGTTACGGCAGTTAGCCGGCTCTCCTCTCTAAGCGACTCAGTGTTATAAATGCACAAGAGAAACTACGGTAATCAAGCCGGATCTCTTGAATACGAAACGGGGCCACAAGCGGCGAGAAGAGAAAGACAACAGGTGGAACATTGATGAGGTTAACTTAATGCGGCAATTAGCCGGCCTCATTAGAGTTGTTACGGTAAACTATGCCGGCACTCTTTTAAGCGATTCAGTGTTAAAATTAAAACGAGAAAACTACGGTAATCAAGCCGGATTTCTCGTACTAACGTAAGCCACAAGCGGCGAACAAGAGTCAAAGATTTAAGGTGGAAATTTCATGGGGTAAACTTAATGCGGTAACTAGCCGGCCCCATCAGAGATGCTACGGTAAACTTGCCGGCACTCTGGCCGCTCGAGGCATACTGAAGTTGGATGTGCGACGGAAAGGTCAAACTGCAAGTTTTACCAGGGAGGCAAGCAAAGAAGTGCTTGAAAGCCGCAGAAAATTGGCTAAGTTCCTCCATGACCTTTAACGGAAGTTTTGACGAGTGGGATGACCTTTGGGATCATCAATTGCCCAACAGAGTCACCGTATCGGAATTCAAGTCGCATGACCTTTGGGACCATTAACCCAAAATGAGTCGCACATCTCAACGGATCATCTCAACAAAGGATGACCTTTACCAGGGAGGAAGCGAACTACGCTTGTCTTCATGACGTCCCTCCATGACCTTTATGGATCTCATTTTGAAGTCGTACAATTGATACGCACCATATTCCAAAGATGAAGCAGTATTCCTAAGTCGTACTTGATACGCACCTGATTCTCAAAGCGGATTGTGATGAAAGTCGCATTACGGACGCGCGAACTTGCTCAACGGAGCAGAATGGGCCAAAGTGCGGAAAACGGTGGACAGGACCTGTGACCTTTACGAGTCAGAAATGGAGGATCCTAGTCTACATTTTGATTAATACTTTTGTTGATCTGTTTAACTGTTGATCTGTTTTCTGATAGTATTTTATAATTGGATCTCTTTATTCACATCGTATTAAATGGAATTGTGCCTTATGGAATTGATGTGATATGATAAAATGGATTAAGAGAATTTGATGTTTTGAGCACGCACAGACACCGGCGACCGTCGTCTTCTCGTGGATTCGAGTGTGTCCAGCCTCACAGGAGCTCGGCATCCCCCCAGAGGCATGTGAGACCGGGATCACTAGCGTTCACGTCAGTGGCGCTACGCCTGTGGCGCTACGCCTTAGGATTACGTGTCTGTGTTGTGTCTCTTCTGATTGGCTTGCGTTCTGATAGTGGGCGCGGCATAGCACGTGCTGCACAGCGTTGCACGCTGTTGAATTGGCTCTACGTTTTACGATCGAGCTGCGCCGATCAGTGTTGATTTTCTGTTCTCAGACTTTCAATATTAAAAGTCAGCGATTTACGGTGCGACGTTTGTGTTTCCGCATAGTTCGCGATCCATATCGTATCGCTCACTCCACGGGATCTATTCCGTTTAGGTCTCCGTATCTGGATCACTGCTGGATCTAGCATTAGAGTCCAATCAAACAATGCGAAATGCCCAGTAATACCAGAAAACAGAATGAGTAAGAACTACTAAGAAGTACTGTAGCCGCCCGCACAAGTTAGACCACAGAGTCGGTATACCGGAAAAAAGCGCACCAAATATACCTACTCTAACCAGGCAGAATGCACGGTTTTGTAAATTCGTTCTCAGACGGTCTATTAATTTTTAAATTCATAATTTTGCTGAAGATATTGTTTTTATGAGCATCTAAAGTTAAAAGAAGCAAAAAAACTTAGGGCTCGGATCGATGCTGATGGATAAACCTGGTTTGTTGTGGTTTTTGGGGTGCCCCTGGCGGGTGGGGGGGGGGGTAGCGATTCAGCCTTTGCACTTTGCAGTATTCTGTACGGTGATGATTCTTGCGAGATGAACGTGAGAACGGAATAGTTCCGGGAACTCATAAAACGAAGAAGATGTGACTTTTGATTTAATCATTCAGTTGCTGAAGGAAAAGTAATATTATTGACAATCAATATTGCTTCGTACGACAGCCGTGTAATTTGCCCGGTTAGAGTAGGTATATTTGGTGCGCTTTTTTCCGGTATACCGACTCTGTGGTCTAACTTGTGCGGGCGGCTACAGTAATCAAAAAACCCCATCAATTTAATTATAAAAAGAAGCGTAAAATTCTGTTCTAATAATAATTACTAATTCATCGAGATTTATTACCGAAGGAATAATAACCAACAACTTGTGCAAGAAAAAAATCAAAAAAAATAATCACCTTTTCTTATAAAAATCCACCGTTCATGTTCCGGACAGCAGCGCCTCACCGGCCCGTTCCACATCCCACTGACAGTTCTCCAGCACCTTCCGGCACACCGTCTCCGGCGCGATATCCAACCGCAGCAGCCGTTCCACTTTCAACGCCGCCACGGCCTTCTCCACATCGAAATGATGCTTGTGCAGCACCGCCTGACAGTTCTTGGCCGCTTCCCCGGGGACGGCGTACTGCACCTTCCGCACCAGATCCTCCAGCACCGATCCCGTGTTCCCGGCCGCCGCGGGACTCTTCCCGGGGGTAACCTGCAGCGGCGTCACGCGGGCCACCGTAGGCTTATTCACCGTGGCGTAGATTGGCGCCACTGTCTCCTTGGTCAAGACGCCGCGTTCCAGGTGGCTAGTGTCGAAGGGATCGTCCAGATCGGTGATGGGGACGGTTTTGATGATGTGCTCGGATTTAAAGTGATTTTTGGGTGGGTTGGCGGGTTTGGTAGGTGGCAGGAGCAGCGCGGCGATGTGCGGCGGGATAACACCCGGGGAGCGGGAGACCGGTTGGGATGGAGCGGCGAAAACTGGAGGCGGAGGTGCCGGACGCAGAATTTGGGTTGCAGTATTATAGTAGTCGGGAGAATATAACGCAGTAACTAAAGGAACGCAAAAAATCGATCAAAAGCATGCTTCGCTTCCACTACGGCGTTGATTAACCCGGTAAATGATGTAATAGCACCAAAATTTAAAAAAATGTTAAATTAAGAATCCGTCACGGAAAATTACAACATATGGCTTTCATTTGTTTTAGCTATTCAATATTTGAGTTTTAAGTGTAAAACGGCATTTTGCTTGTACAATGTTGAAATCAATAAAGTTTTTACATATGGTTATAACATTATAGGGACATACCAACAGGAACAAGCCAATGCACTACAAACAACGCCTCAACATAAAGTATCACCTAACTACTCAAACATGATCGCAAATTCGCAATACAAACTCAATGTGAGCCAGATATATGAAAATAACAAGACTGCATGCATCTTTTCATCTTTCTGCATTTTTTACTATTGATTTCAATGTTTTCAAGATGTAGGATTTTATTCAATTTTCAAAAACACCGAACTTACCGGTGGGCATGACCGTTGACTGACCGCTCAACATTCCCGAATTACCCGGCGGCAGGACATTTCCGTACGTCTGCGGTCGCTGCGGCAACCCAGGCGTGGAACCACTGGAAAGAGTACTGGTTTTGCTTCCTCGCAGATCACTGAATGAGTAGTAGGGCGGCGCAGTGGGATAGATACTCGGGGATGCGCCCCATTCGTTCGCTGGCGGCAGATTGAAATAACTTGGAAGCGGCGAAATGTGGGCCAAATCGTTGGAGTATAACGGCGAGGACTGCAAAAGCCATGATTATATCACAGAAAAAATAATTTTATTAAATGGGAAGATGCGAATCTACTCTATGGATCAACGTTATCTAGTACACTTATACCTGACCGAAAAACAACCTTTATGTACACTACAGTTTGCAAAAACAAATTCTTTATAACACAGAATTCGAAGAACTTTAAATTTTGCTGACAGTGAATATAACACGTGGAAAGTGCTTTGGTATTCATAAAAAAACTCACAATCAGATGTTTTACACTGACTGCTCAATGCGGTATATTGTTACCGCAGATTCGTAGTACAACGGCCTGATGGATAACCAGTCTGTCCGCTTCGGTGAACGAGTTCCCGAATTCGCCGTACCGTACCCTTCAACTAGTAATCATCAAACAAAACTTTTTCGCTTCACTTTCAGCTATTTTTAACCACTCCCAGAAAGCAATTGTAAAATTACGGTTGATTCTCAACACATATCGTTTATGCAGCTAAGAGATGTTTTCCTTCACTGACAAATACAGTACGAACGAATTTCGTAAAATGAGACTGAAAAACAAACACAAAACATAAAAACTGCTTAGCAAAATTAGCCGTCCTACTATTCCTACACTTGATGATTAATTCCCGGCTCAATCTACAGCTACAGTTTTATATCTATGTGTTTACATATATTTATATATATTTTCTAAAGGACTTAAAATGTCAGCCTAACCAATGATCATGGTCCAGCATCTAACTGCCGAAAATACCTGAGATCCATAATCCGAGCTGACCAGATTGCTCTCCGACTGGGAATTCAACCGGGTTAGTCCCGGATGCAACACATGAGCATCATCCGACAGATCAATCAGGGCATCGCGCGGCGGGGATGAGGACGGGACACTGGAGGCGCCCCGTGCATTCCGTCGGCTGTCGGGCGGTTTCGGCAATGTCACAGCCTGGAGATCGAGGGGAGTGGGCGCGGCGGAGGCGGCGGGCGATCCCAGTTCGCCCAGCAGATCCGCTGCGGGAACGGGATTGCGCAGGAAGATCTCGTCAATGACCGCCGGACTGCCGAAGGTCTTACTCGGATCCGTGTCACCGTGGCCCGTGTGGACGAAGGAATGCCGCAGCTACGAGATAAAATAAGGATGCATACAGATCGCAAAATTGGGAAATTAACTGAAGAACTATGTGTCTACTGATTTTTTCAAACAGCGCTTCAGAGCTGTTGTCAAATGAAACACCTCAGGTGTGCCTTGTGCCCCAGGAGAAGCAAAAGAGGTTGGTTGTTTTTTTATCAAGTAACTCGGCGGTTGCATTTTTTGCAACCCGGGTGGCTATTTTTTGATAATCAGAGGATGGAATTATACGAAAACAGCATTTTTCACAACGTAACGTTTCACTTCGCGCGTCGGACATTATTAACAAATCCTCCACCATAAAAATTCTCCCGTAGTGAGATTTATTGTAGAGCAATGGCTATCAACGTAAAGGAGCTTAAAATAATAAAATTGTTACCATTTTAATATACATTTTTTTACTATTAAATAGCAAACTGACAACTACCATCTTTTTCGTCATCCAGACTCTGATAATTATTTTTTAAGCAGCATTTCTAAGATCTGATGATAATCTCATGGCCTTCATAATAAATTAATACAGGGAAACTTCGAATCATAGAAATAAAATGTCACATACCGGATTGCTAATGTCGGAATGCCTTCGCGTTCTTCCGGATGCAGCGGCAACCCGAGGGAACTGTCCAACATCATAAGTGCGCTGATTCTGCCCCGTCCACCAGTAGCATTCCAATCTGTGTGTATAAGCAAAAACATTACATACAATAACTTCCAAACGGCAAATCGTGTTCTAATTGATACGACAAATCGTATTTTTGTACCGTCCATCAATCACGATAATCTCATCGCCTGGCTGCAGTTTTAATTTCCCCTCTTCCTCAAATGTTTTGGTCGCCCTGAGAGTATCGAGGCTTTTCTGAAAAAAAAGGAAAATAGGATACACTGGAAAAAAAGTGCCAACCGCACTGCCAGCAGAAACTTTGACAATTCGTGCAGCCAACAATAGTAAAATGTATCAAACAAGAAATACGAAACAAAATCATTCGGAAGCATACAGAGAAAATTTTGATTTTCTCAGAAAATCATTGTATCACTAGAAATACCAGAAACTGAAAAATTCTACAGAAAAGGTGTACGCACATCGCGAAGATACGCAGCAAGTGACGCGAAATTCGGCCGGTCTTGTGGACGATGGAGCCAGCAAGAATACATCATCTGGTAGATCTCGGTTGGGCAGGCGTCCGGTTTACTGAGGCGTTTCCTTCTTGATCGATCAGTTCCAAAATCTGCGCAATCAACGCTTTGTTACTGCTTGCGCGCGGAACATAAACAATGATCCACAAAATAAAACCGAACCTTTGCGCCCGAACAACCGGTCCAAGGATGTTGACCAAAAGTGAATAACTCCCTGTACGTAATTACCAAAAATAAATTATTAATTAAATAATAACCAGCTAACAGTAAATAACTACCAAAAAGGTTTACTGGAAGTAATTATCAGAATTAAATTATTAATTAAAATTGTAACCAACTAACAGTAAATACGAATAAATACCAAAAAGGGTTTACCATAGCGTCACTCCATATGCCCAACAATCACTGGCATGGGAGAACTTCTTCCACTTCAAACACTCTGGCGCACACCTTCAATGAAACCAAAATCTACGAGTATATGAGAAAGTGGAAACAAAAACTAAGAAACAACTAATAATCTGATACGGGGCTTCATAATTACGAGTACAACCAAATAGCTTATTTTTTTGTACCCCTGCACTACGATAATATACAGTAATCAGCTATGAAAATGCAAAACAAACAGATAATCTTTGAGACGCACTATGCGGCAACTTACCAGGGGAATGGGATTTTCTTGTGCTCCGTCATAGTGTAGCAGTCTTCATCCGGATGGATTGACTTGGTCAGACCGAAATCTCCAATTTTTATCTGCATATCACGAAAAAAATGTAGTTAAAAATCTGCTTCACACATAATGTTGTACAAAACAAGATTAAGTATTATCCCGAAAAAGTTCTTGTCTTAGATTCAAAATACTGCGTTAGGCATACTGGCATAGCAAACCATCAATTCTTCTTTACGTCAATAAATAAGACGTTAACAAAATGCAGACTTTCAGAATAAGAAACCGAAAATGCCCGCGTTACGCATAATCGTAATAAGTAAATCCCATGTGAATCGAATATGCAACGTATAACTAGCCAAAAAATTAGATCCTTCATATTACTATTAATATATGTTAATTGAATATTAATGACTTAAATATTATTAATCATTATTTTATTATAAAATAAAAAATTATAAAATTGAATTAGTAATCATTAGCCACTTAATTTTAGGAAAAAATGTAACAAAAATTTAAAGTATAGAAAAATTCCGCAATATCCAGCGAATATAATATAATAATGAATTCTGTGTTCAGCTCTGCTAAAATCATAGTTTCTTGATAATAACGATGGACGCACATGATCGATAGAAGCCAGCAAAATGTTCCTCGCCGCCAAATCCCGATGCACCTTTCTGCAAAGGTCCCAAAATAAATTCCAAATAAATCAGAAAAGGTAACCACGTAACCACGTCAACGTTCGTCAACCATACCGTTTACTCTCCAGAAACTCCATTCCCCGGCAGATCTGTTTGGCCCAGTTGAAGATGCGCGCCACCGACGTCCGCCCGCACTCTTTGCGCAGCCGATCCAGCACGGATCCCAACGGCGCCAACTCCTGGACGATCATGTAGGGAGAGGATAAACTAGGACGAAAAAAGCAAACACATTCAGACAAGCAGTCGAACTTGACCGATCAATGGCCAGCGCGCTGGAAAGAAAATTGCCGTGACAAGACAAAACGCTGTTAGAGTTTTGTGAGTGGTCGTCCGAACGCAACGAACGTTCGCATGCAAATACGCCATATCCAGTCAGGTGGATAATGAGGTGCAGCGGAAGCACTTAGCATTTGTTTGAATATACAGTATTCACAATCTGTGGATTTTCTCATACATTTTTCGTTCATGAATTTTTTAGCACTTCTATATTGCTGCGCAACATCATTACAAAGGTCTTTTATACCTTTTTTACTTTTTACGCAGATAATATCCATTTCCTATAGTAAAACATCGCACAAACTTCAAAATTTGGAAAATTTCAATGACGTTGTCGTACAGGACCAGTACAAACAGCAATATTAACTAAAAAATGTTTTTCTTACTAATTCCATCGCCAGGAATCTAAAAAAAAACATTTATTACCTTAAAAGTATTTTTTATTTACTTATTTTATTTATCTGCCTTTTTATTTGTAAATTTTTAAATATTCATTTAGATTTCTAAATATTGGTTATATAAGTTTTGGTTGGCAGATTTTTTACAGTTTTAATCCGAACTCTGAGCGCGCATTCACCACAAATCGCACCCGGAACATATTTTCGATAAAACCCACCTAATCCCGTATAAACTGATGAGATGCGGATGGTGCAGTCCGATCATGGCGTCGACTTCCTTTACGAAATCGGAGAATGCGCCGGGCAGCGCCGCTTCACTGCGTAACATTTTCACGGCTGTTTCCACCTATAAAACCATAAAAATGTAATCGTTTAATTACGTACAATAAATAATAATTATCGTGCTTATGCTAATTCACAATCAACTTCTGATACGCTTTTGTGCAAACGGTCAACAGACAGAAATTTACTCCACTTCAGACCAGCACGAAAAGCAAGGTCGTGCGTAATTCACGATGCCGATTTGAATGTGAAACATTTCGTTTGCAAGCGCGGCTAGATTAGATTTGTTAGGGTTATTCCACTTCAGTTTTACGAATTATAAGTATAAAAAATGCAAACACCAAACTATAAAAATCGCGGTAAATTTTTGTTGCGCCAAATTAAAAAATTTCTGCAAATGTTTATACAGTAACAGAAACAAGAATCTGTTGCATCAGCAGTAGCTTGTCAGGAAGCGCCATATCGTATTCCACAACATTTAATATAGGACAATGCGCTCCACGTAAACAAACATTGCGGCATCTACTTTTGCATGGTAAGCGAATTCTTCAAACCGCGGATAATGGCCGGAACAGCAGCAGCACACGTTCCGTATATATGTACTGCGTATAAGTTGTATAACAACAGTGACGACCCTTTTTGAATACCATATTCAACCGCATTAAACGTTTTTTATAAATTTTTTTAATATCAGAAAAGCATTCCTTAACAACACCACTGGAAATAATAAAAAAGGTGACAGGGATTTTTACTTACATTTAAAAACTTGCATTTAAATGATTACAGATTATTTGCACTACTTAATTTCCCAGATAAAAAAAAGTAAAATTATATGCTACCGTTTCATTCACGTTGAAATCCATAATTTCTAACACCGCATATCGTTGGTCATATTCTAATAACCACTGCACTACGACAATCACTTCATATTCCAGTGTGCGGTAAAGAATAACGACATTAGCGTGTATTAAAACGCTTGTACTGGTATAAATACACGGAAGCAGGAAGTTTCCCACAGAAACAAAAAGAAGCAAAAAATTCGTCAGTACCTTACGTCATCTCATAACTAAATACCGTACAATAAATTATCATAAACAATGATTCACCACTTGTCCATCCGGTCGCGTCCATTCGGCGCGCATCACCTCGCCAAACGTTCCCTGGCCCAGTTTCTCCTTGATAACCACGTCCTTGGTATTAATCAAACATCCCACTTTACTGGCATCCAGCTGGGAGGTGTGCAGATGAAACTGGGCTGCATTTGCGGAAGTTCCCGGCTTCGCAAGGTGGTTGGTCTTGTTTTTAGGCAAAACCTGGCACATGTTAATAATCAGAATAAATACTTACCATGAAATGCATCATTTGGTGAAAACGCAATAAATTTACATGTCATTTAAAATCGCTCTTAAAACTAAGTAAATTTTGAACACCAACTACATATCTACTTTTTAAAAAGTGAATATACAAAATTACAAAAACTCGCCAATAATTAATACATAAACGAAACCGTTTATCATTAGAAATCATTTATCAAATTCAGCACGTTTTAAACGGACTAACTTTTACAGAAGTACACAAACACAAAACTATAAGAAATCGCTCGTAATAATTATTACTTTATCAGTGAGTAAAGTAGGCATAAAAATGAATAAATCCCATTTAAAATGATTTTAAAAATTTTAAAAATTTCTGAAAATGATTATTACTTTATCAGTGAGTAAAGTAGGCATAAAAATGAATAAATCCCATTTAAAATGATTTTAAAAATTTTAAAAATTTCGGAAAATGATTTTAAAAATTTCTGAAAATTCAACATATATTTCCAACCCCGGAAGTCTAGATGCACAGAAATTTTTTAAATTACGATGTTCTTACGGACGAATATACTGCGTAACAGTGATAAAAAAAATATTAAATAACTTATTATCACCAAGCAGATACCGCACGACAGAAATTCGAACGGATCGCCACACCTTTTCGATAATTCCTGACATAATTCCCGGCGGCTTCATCGCGTCCTGATGGGCCTTCACCGCGGCCAACAGACGGCGCCGCGCTGGTCCGCCCATCTGGATGGCGGCCAGATCACTGGCCTTCACATGGTCAAAATGTGCCAGACGAGTCACGTTCAGTTCGTCACGAATTCGCGGAAAAAACGCTTCTAGATCGACGCTCTGCAAATCACTCATCTTATTTTAAATTCCGATCAGACAAATATCTGTGCTATAACTTTCCCACCTTCAATATCTGAAGCACTAGTTCCGGAGAATCCTCCACAGGTATCTTAGGATTCATTCTGGAAAGATTTCTCCTGGTAAGACCGTAAGAGTGAGCAGACGAGAACTTCGCGATCTACTGATTCTACTCCAGTAACTTCATCCTAAACAGTTTTCCCTTGTTTTGCCAAACAAGTTCCATACAATCAATCAGATACTGAGTTGTAACGCTACATGGAATTCACTCTATCAAATTATAACTGTAAGGGATTCTCCATTCTGATCAGATGGAAAAAGGAAGGATGGCAATCAGAACAATGAGCATCACAGATAAAATCGGAAACAAATCGGCTGTCACTTGACTTGTTCGATCAAACAGGTTTACAACACACAAATAACTCAAAAAGTGACAGTGTGAGAGGTGTGGCTCTTTAATACAGTCGCACGCTGAAGCTTAAAATACTTAATCGCCCACGAAGGGCGGCAGCTGCTTCCTACGCATTTCCTACACACAAAAATTTTGGGCACCCAGTGCACCGTAGACTATGGTATAAGGAAAACCGCCCTATAAAGCGGTTACCCAATCCGGCTCACTACCACCCAACCAATCCGAATTGCGTACAGCAGGTCAGTACTCCCAAATTACTGATTGCTAGGAGTACCTTTGCTAGAGTAGTGTTTATTAGTGACATTCTAAAACGAAATCGAAATATTTCTTATTTTTCTGGATCAAAACCTAATATTTCATTAGCCGAAATGAAATATGAGCCACAACTGCTTTCACATTTCCCATTAATTAGTATGGCGACGAGAAGCAAAATGCATTTTATTTGAAAAAGGTTATGAATTTTTTTGTAGAGTGACATACATATGTACATAGGTAATGATATACATATAAATAGATGGATAATGATAAGTTGAGGAACATCAGAATTAATTATTTGCTGAGAAACGAATGAGAAATCCGTTCAGTATGTCCTAATAGATTGCAAGGAAATAATGGGTGCATTTTATACGACTACGAAAGCAACATACGTATTCCCGTCACAAAAAAACCAAGTTTTTACTACAGGCCGTACACAGAGGTGTACAGCAGGCTGTACATGAAGTAATACTGCAGGCTGAACATTAGGCTGTGCTACAAGCATTTCCACTAACTAAGCCTAGTTTACTACAGCTTAGACTACAGGCCATACATTAGGTTGTACTACAGGCTGCACTACAAGTTGTACTACAGGCAGTACATCGTATGCTTTTTGTTTATTTAATGAGACTGATTTGTTGATTTGTTTAATGAAATGCATCAAAATTTTTGATATACTTATAAACGCAAAATACGAATCACTCTATTATCGTTTTTTGTAAAACCTCAGAACAAACCGTCTTATAAATAAAGTAAACACTACAAGGTTGTACGCTACAGGTTTGTACACTACAGGTTTTATGAATTTGCTGTAGTATTTACCTTCGCTTGTTTGGCACATGTTTGGTACACAACATTTAAGATTTAAAAACATTTCAGCAGTACATTGTGATAACTGTAGTTTATTTAATGAGACTGGCTAGTTATTTTGTTTAGTACAATGCATCTCAATTTTTAATATACATCTGTGCGCAAAGTACAACTCACCCGATTAATTTTTTTGTAAAAAACTCAAAAAAAAACGGTTTTTTGAAACTAAACACTACAATTTTTTTGCGTTTTTGCATTTATAAATGTTTTTTATAGCACTTAATTTTGTTAATAGTACGGCGCGATGTTCTGTTTAAAATTATAATTTAGTAAAATTGTTTTACGTTCATAAAGTCTTTTACATTAAATTCAATAAAATTTTTAAAACCGTACCAGATATCTTTCCGTGTTTCCGGTTTGCAGATTTTTATTTTAACGTTTAAACTCATTTTAATATGATCAAATATAACTAAAAATAATATCCAGGAATCAGAATGCTTAGCTGATATCTTATGCATTATGATTATGCATTATGATCATAGACCGGCGTGCTTGCTCGTTTGCTTAATGTACTGCCTGTAGTACAACCTGTAGTACAGCCCGTAGTATAACCTAGTGTATGGCCTATAGTTTAACCTGTAGTGCGCTAAGTTGAGTTGATAGTAATCTTATAGTACAGTCTAGTGTTCAGCTTGCAGTATTATGTGGCGTATTTCCTGCAGGACACCACAGTGTACGGCCTGTAGTAAAAACTTTGTTTTTTATGACTAAAATACATATCCTGCTTTCGTCGTCGTATAGAATGCTGTCAGTATTTTTTTGCACAGTATAATAAAATTTTTCAGGATATACTGAACTGAGTTTTTGTTAGTTTCTCAGCATGTTATAAAAAAATCGGATATTCTTTAACTTACTGTTACTTATGTGTATGTATATCATTACTAATGTATATCACTCTAAAAAACTATTCATAATTTTTTCAATTAACACACGTGTTGTTCAGCATTTCAGTTAATGGGAAATGGAAACAGTTGTGGTTGCTATTTTATCTCTGCTAATAAAATGTCAGGCCCTTATCCAGAAAAATTGTATTATTTCGATTTCGTTTCAGTTAAATGTCGCAAGTGATAAACGCTAGAATTAAACCTACTCTAGCAATTAATAATTTGGATTCTGGAATACTGACCAGCTGTGCGCAATTCGGATTGGTTGGATAGTAGTGATCAGGATTGGGTAGTCGCTTTAGAGGACGGTTTTCCTTATACCATAGAGTCTACGGTGCACTGGGTGCCCAAAATTTTTGTGTATTTCACACAGAAATCTACAAATGCTGTACGTGAGTATTGTACAATAGCAGTGCGCGTATCGTAGCGTCGGGGCTGCAAAATAGCTCGTTTGATGCCTGTTCTTGTTGGATAGCAGCGTACTGTACTTTAAATATCAAAATACAAGCGATCGTAAATTAAATGAAGCATGTATATTATACGAGTATGTAACGAATTTACTAAAATTTTGATAAAATTTCTTTTAACTGGTTAATGAAAGTTACCAATTTAACGACCCGTCGATATTGAGCTACAGTGGTCTTTTATTTGAGAAGCTGTTGTCCAATTAAATGCATACTATATTGTCAAAAAACGAGTAAACCCTCGTGCAAGAAGAAATGTACTGTGTGTGGATATTATTTATTCAGTAAAAAATGTAACCACCAACGAATCAAACACAATCATATAAGAAGAACGAATTAACAATATCTTCAGTTAAGTTCACTCTGCACTCGTATAATCTTTTCTGATTTAACAACTACAATGGCACTTAACAATTGTGGAATAATTAAATAAATAATCTCCTTTTTATTGACCACCGTAGACATGTTCGGCCTTTTTCGCAATGAGGGCATACCATACGCCGATGAAGCTGGTGAGGAACCACTGCATCCGCCATTTCAGACGGGCGGTCATCCCCAGCGGAATAAACCCGGCCACGTTGATCGTCTCGAATCCGCAGCGCCGTACCACATCAGCAATCTCATCGGGTTTGATGAAGCGGTGGAAACGATGGGTGAAGGCCGGCATCGTCCCGGCCACGTGCTCCATCCAGCCGATGATGAAGAGGAGAGCCGGCAGGGAGCGGTTGTTGGTGGTGAAGAAGACGCAGCCGCCGTCGCGGACCAGTTTGCAGATGTACGGGACGTACTCCAGTCCGTTGATGTGCTGGTACTGCAGCTGCTCCGAACAGATGACCATGTCGAATTCACCGGGATGGGCCTGGCTGAATTCCTTGACGCTGGCGTTGTGGTACGAGGGACCTATTCTATCGCGGCCCTGAAAATATACACATTAATTTAAATTTCACTACAAGGAATTTATATTTGGCGTAGTACGGCACCTGCATTATGTCCTTAATTAATCATGACTGTTATCACTTTCAGTTTTAGCAAAAAGCGATTCCAGAGAATTGGTGCATATTACGGTAAACTTCTATAGCACGATTGAAGAAGTTTCGAATTCGTTGGTTGCCCCTTAACTACGAAATCATACAGTTAACCGAGACGTACTCACCAACACGCAGCATCAACTGTTTCCACTACCATGTTATTGCCTTTTTTGGGAGAATTCTTCCATTACAGTATTGCTAGAGACTTCTAACAGGTACATATGTCAGAGGCAAAGCTTTTCAAAAATAATTTTGAAAAAGCAAAAGAATATTCTTTAACAAAATTTGTTAATTACGTAATATTACTCGTATTAATGTTGTAAAATTGATGCTCCACTTGCCTGCGTTTCCCGCCAATGCGCTTTGGCCGTCAAGACATCGTACTCATCACAGTCAATGGCTACCACATCCGCGCCCAGCTGTACGAGCGCCTCCGCCAGTAGACCGCCTCCACAGCCCACCTCACAGATGCGTGCACCCAATAGCGGCGTCGCTGTATCCGACGTATCCACACTGTGCAGTTGATCCCGCCCCAATACATGCCGGTAGTACGTATCGCAGACCAACTGCAGCCGGACTTTGTTCATACTGCGCAGTCCCTGCACTTTCCGCCGGATCCGTGACGGCGCGTCGCGATTGGTGCCCCACCAGAATTCATGACGTTCCTCCAGTTTGCTCCGTTTCTCCGCCGACAGATCCATGTCGTCGAGGTGGCCGTTTTTGTTAGCGCTGTAGGGAGTTGGCGGTACCGGGTCGGGTTCTTCTTCCGGATGGTAAACGTACGTGTGGAACGAGCTCTAAGGCGAGCCGCAACGGCAACGTCACCAGTAACCACACTCGCAGCAGAAAACCCTGGATGTTGCAACAAAGCTCAAAAACCAAGTGTTTTACGTAATATGCTAAAGCTGCTTTTAAATCTGAAACTGATGTACGGCGGTACACAGTCGTGTTAATTACAGTAATTATAAATTTTAATAATCTATGTGTACATTAGTATAAAATAAATATAATGATAAATGAAAATTATATCGCAGTATAAAACAAGTGCAAGTATACAACATAAATAACACTGTATAAAACTATAAAATAAAAAAATAAATTTTGTAATATCTATACAGTAAGTATAAGAATTATGTAATAGTAGATATAGTAATCGTACCGCTGTCGTACCGCGACTCGTACAGAGTACGTATTTGCTTCGGAAATAGTGCTTGTACAAAATAATCATAAATATTTTTCTTTTGTAAAAGTTATTGATCGTTAACGTTATTTGAAACTGTTATTAAGAACGAACGCTGTTTCTGCAAATTCTTCGGTACACCATTCTAGGTTATGCAATAAAGTGTAATAAAAGCATGAAATTTTTGACTAATCGGTGTTATCAAAAGCAAAAAATAAATTAAAGTATTTTCTTAACTTGACATACCATTGTTGCCTTTTATCTAGCTGGGCTCCGGTTTCTCACGCCAAAAAAAAACAGGAAGCGAAGGCAAAACTGGATGCGAAAACAGTCGCCGGCTAAAATTGTCAGTTAACAATTTCCGGTAATGCCGCGTAAACAAGTACCGTGCCAAATTAAAACTGTCAGTAAACCAATTTTTGCTCCCTCCGCTGTTGGAAACGACGCTAATATTGTAAGTACTCGTACTTTACTCTTTTTACACTGGATCACAATCGGAGCTTCTAACGTCGTATATAGTCATAATCGGTGAATTGCATCTGTGACTTGTAAACCTTGACCGGTGGAAAAACCAGCCTCAACCAGATAGCCAAGGCATTTTGCTACACATACAAGTAAGTACATCCATTTCCATACCGAACTGTGACCTTTGTCTCTGCGGTCAATTTGGCAGTGTTTTACCGGAAAATTTGGAACGCATTCGACAAATTTTTACGAATTATTGATGAGTAATTCTTATACCCTGGATTTTGACCGCAGACAAAATGCAGAATTATTTCCAAATTCCAGCCCATAAATTCTGAAAATACAGCTTCACAGGAAATTTATTTTACATTTTAGTAGCGGTAGCCATTTCGTAATGAAATCAATTCACCAATTAAATGTGCTTTTGTTCCTTTTTTTAGGCAGGCATTAAACGATGAATAATTCATTTTATTTTAAATTTTAGCGAGTGTCTTACTAATAATTAATGATTTACTAATAAATAAAATGTGAGTTACTCGTAGATAAAAATTTTCATCGATAAATTTGTGCGAATTCACGGAATAAACAGGTCTTTATTTATTAAAGTAAGATCGCCAAATCGAAAAAAATTTTGTTATACACAACATCAGTTTGCAAACTATACAACAGCGTTAAAATCAGTGTAGTGAGAAACTAAAATCAAATTAAAAACATCAATGAAAAAAATTAGAAAAGACAAAACCGACGATCAATACTAAATCACCGCGCGCGCAATAATCAGAAACAGGGGTTCGAAAACATGCAACAGGGAATGTGTGGAAGCGACAGCCGTCAACGCAAAAAGTTGTCAAGAAAACCAGTACGGACAATTAAACAAATCACTGTAGTTAAACATTAATTGTCAACAACACCAACAAGGCCATAATTACATAATAAATTATAATCCCACTGACGTCCATCCTGTGTTTCACCAGTGCCGAGTAACGCTCGCTGAAACCGGCTGCGGGTTATTGTCCTATCAAAGCAACCTTGATTTGAAATACTTATGTAAAACTGATGTATCAGTATAACCGTGCAACGGTATCTGTATTACACACCAATATTTGTACATAAACATTTCTTATAACTATTAATTCTAGCTTTTAAAACCCCAGAGTATGATTATTCACCAAAACTAGATGAATTTCTCTAAATAGCTGTTAAGAAAATTTACTAGAGATGCTTAATGTAATCGGGGGAAAATTTTATGTATTATGCAATATTGGTACTGCACCAATGCACCATTCCCAAGATTTCCGCGACTTTGTTGACGCATGCTATGTTCTCTATCACTCTGCATGATATTTTCTAAAATCTTAAAGAAACTTTAACTGAACTAAAATACATTAATGTCACAATTATTTTTCGTGTGGTTACTGATGCCTGAAGAAGCATACACTGTTAATTTTTTATTTTAACGGTTGTATTATGTGCACATATAGATATAAGCAACAAAGATTTTCTTAATCGCTCTGTGAACTACCAATTCACAAATATTGTTAAATATTTTCTTTATCACTTTGTGTACAGTTTTCTGAAATCCCACCTAATTACCAAAACCACCAAGATTAAAATCACCGACCATCGAAACTGGCATTAATATGTCCATTAGTTCAATTTTTGTTGGCTACTGACGTTTGAATTAATCACTGTTAACTCCCTTCATTTGTTATAAAGATTACAGCAGATTTTTAAAATGCGTTCTCAAAAGTATTCCTTATACAATCCGGCACCAACCTTTTCTCACACCGACCATATTGCAGAAGGGGAACAAATGCACGTTAGCAGCGCGTCTCATACAGGCCACTCCGGCCAATATAGCGGACCCATTTGATAACATCATGATCGCTGTAGTTCAGTTTGGACTCGAAGACCTTCAGATAGCGCACTTTCAGCCCGGATGGCGCATACGGCACCTGCATGCACAACACAAATTCCGTCACATAGCCAAGAAATAGTACGGCACAAATAAACAACCAAACACCAACAATTATTGATCATACCTCAAAGTTCATGGAGATGGGCGGCCGGGTCCATTTCTTCTTGTCGTTGGTGGGCAGGAGTTCGATCTCGGCGCTCAGCTGGGACTCTTTCATGCCGGCCATGCGTTTGATCTTCCACACGATGGCGTTCTCGCTGGGCTTGTACTTGGCCTTGCCTTTCATGCAAATCAACTGGACACCGCTGGTGTTCGACGGCGTCGGAATGCGCACCTGTACCGTCGAAAAAACACATTCTCACGTTGTACTTCAGCACAAACCGTGTTCTACACATATTTAACCAGTTTCCTAAACGAACAAATATGCAGAGAAAAAAATGACCAAAAATAATATGCTCAAATTTCCTTTTTTCTTTTAATATCCGGAAAATTGTTGAAAACAAAAAAAAATTCAAGCAAGTATGTGAACAAACAAATATTATTTTTATTCTCAACATTAAAACATTACATAAAATTGTTTTCCTTTCAGGAGCATTGTGAAAAAAGTGTTCTTAAATTTTTTATCACATCTTGCTTCAAAAATTCGGTGTTTTAAATTTTCGAAAAATACCTATATTTCAGCAACTGAATGCAATAACTATTTGAATTTTATCACTGTTTTTCCTGATTTCTTAGGTTTCTCTTTTTCCCAATCTATTTTTCAAAATAAGGATTCCATGTAAATTTGTTACTCATGCGTAATCAAGCGATCAATACGCACCTCAATCTTCTGCGACAATAACTGCGGTTTGAAATTAGACTTTATCACAACTTTGACTTCCATTTTCGTCCGGCCAACTTCGCGAACCAGCGGAATAACACGGAATGGTAGACTAATATCTTTGGTTGTACGGTATCTGGCAACAGAATACATTCATTCTTCACATAATATTTATTCCAGCAAGCGAATCTTCGAAATTCTTACCGCATAAGTTCAAATTCTCCGTCCGGCGGAATAAAACTGATAGCGTGCTCCGTTTCGAATTTGCTCAGCTTAACACACTGATGAAACTGGCAGTCATCGATGGCGATCGCAGTGCGGCTGAAAAACGGTGAATTTATCTTACGATAATTATTGTGAAATCGTTAATTATGAACGATGTCAAAAACAAAAATTTCGGAAAAAAAGAGAGGTAGGCAAATGCGTTACGAACACCAGCATACAAATTACAACAGAAAACGGTGTACTGTTACGTGTACATACTTTTTATTTAGCTCTTCGGTGCCCGGTTTGTTCTTGGAATCCATCACAATCTTGTCATTAATTCCGAATTTACACTCGGGCATCCCACTCAGATAGCTCTTCATGATGACTTTTCCGGCTACATGGGCCGACAACACTTGTCCTACAAACACGATTTTCTCTCAGACACTTTCCAGTCATTCAATTTACAATTAGATATTACAATACCACAGGAAGCACAATTTCAGCACAGTGAAACTAAACGACGATTAAATTAAGGGCATTTTTACCGGAAAACAATTTTCCCAAGAATAGTCAGTAAAAAGGTTCGCAATCCATCTTGAGAACCAGGAAAGCCATTAAATAAACGCTCGCGAAGTAACAGACTACAAACTGTTAAACAAACCTCACAATATCAAAGCAAACTAACAGCTAAGACCACTCACCGATGTACAAATATGTTGTACGCAAAACAAATTCAAAAAGCAATTTTTTAACTGCATATGTAAAACCGTATTTAACTTCAAAATTACAGCATATCCAGCATCGTCAGAAAAACTCATGTAAAATAAAAAAATAATAAAAGTGCATTTCGCTGCAACATTTACTGTTTTACTGCATCAGCTATCGCAGGCAAAACTCTATACATTTCAACAAAAATTTCACAAACAGTTCAGTAAAGTTTCTGTAACATTTACTGCATAATCCATCATAGGAAAAGCTTAAAACAAATTTCAGTAAAACTCACAACTGCTTTCACCTCTCGCTTTGAATGTATCGCAGGCAAAATTCATTATTTTCGACAAAATTTCCAGAAGTGCTTTGTATTTCAATGAAAAGTGTGAAGTAAAATCATCGCGGTTGCTTATTGACAATCCAGCCATCTGCACTAGCAGCACCCACCTTGCGCCGACATCAGCAAATTAACATACTCCAGCACATCCAGGAACAGCTCATTGCGCCGGTACTTGATGCCTTCGCGGCGCCAGCCAATCTGGCCCGTCACTTGCGACGTAATCTGCGCCTGTTCTTCCTTGGTCTGCAACAAAACAACACCCAATCACTCAGCGATGCAATTCCCATCACGACACTAATAAAACGGCACTTTCCATAACCGTAAAATAATGCGGTTACGAGGTGACCCAATGCAGCCGTATTATTCAAGAAAACTAAAAGCCGCCTTCCGCCACTGTCTCCCAGCGTCCGCCCTGGATTCAGACGTTGCGAATACGTATTATATAAGTTCAGTGAGCAGTGTACTGTATACAAAAGGCGCAATGCAATGCGGCGGTGGTCGCCCGTAATCGCCGCGATGGATCAATATCGATTAGGGTCTCCGTGTCAGATCCGTAACGCCACTCACACACGCTCACAGACGCTGATTTCCTGATCATTTTGCTGGGGAGATTTTGTCTTTTATCAAAAGACGATTTGCCAGCGATAAAATGAAGTTACGGGTTAAATAACAAACCACTTAAGAAAATCGGATGGGATTAGTTTCTCCAACAAAACAACTTAATTTCAAGGCCACAGTTACATGAAAATCCCAAGAATAATCAACAAAAAATTAAAATGCAGTTCATGTAACACAAAATACGACAATATTTTTAAAAATAACGGAGCTAAAATATTAGATATTCAAAAATTAAAATCTAAAAACTTCCGAAAGAATTTCGGACGTTTTAAAAAAAAATTTAAAATAAATACGACAACGACAAATCTTGAATACTATTTTCAGAAACATTTGACTGCAAAATTAAGTTCAGGCAGAAACACTAAAAATTAGACAGTAAATTTCGCGCAAAATATTTAACATTAATAATGATGCATTTCTATGGCACTGTAATGAATTTTGAATAAAACAGGACAAAGAGCTCACCCCAGATTTGATTCCCTGTTGCGTGATAAACGTCTTCAAAATTCCCGTATCCAAGTTTTGCGGATACCCGAAATCCAGAATTTCTGCAAAAAAAATTCATCACAATTTAGGCGAATAAACAATAATTACATATCCATTCCAACAATAAAAAAGAATTATTTCGACGACCCAAGTGCGGATTTCCGAAGAAGAACCGCGGAACTGCGTGGCTTACCATCTAAAATCTCGTAGACGAGGACAAAATTATTCTTGACATTTTCCTCATTCAGTTTCCCAAAGTACGACTGCATAATCTCCACGGTTTTATTGAGCAGCTCAAAGACCATGGCGGCGTTGACGTTCTGCTTGGTGACGACGGCAATCCAAATGTTTCCGCGTTTAATGTGGAAGAAACTCGTCCGGGCGATGTTGGTGACGGGCGAGCGCACCTGCTGACGGGCATGGATCACATTCACGCGGAAGGCATCCACGGCGTTGCGTCTGCATCATAAACACTCTGAACTAACCCCTGCAGACAATGAAAAGAGGAAACCAGGAAAAACAACAAATACCCAATGTCATCGCGATACACCCTGGAAATCAGCACTTCTCCTTTGTGATTGTAGATGAAGAGTCCACCGATCATTTTTCTCGCGGACTTCCAGATAACTGGATAAATTTATTATAAAAATGAAGGATTGTTCGGTGGTAACAAAACAAGAATAAATAGAATCGCGGAGAACTACTGCAGTGCTCCCGTTTTTTTGCTCTGGGATTTATTGCTGATAAAATTATTTTCATGTTTATCGTGGCTGTGAAGGGCGTCGCGTACGTCGTACTCGATTTTCTCGTACACGATCTATGTACCGCAAATACTGTATCGACCACGTGCTAATTTCTTACGTTAAAACTGCCTCACATATCACGTGGTTGGGTTTCTTAATGAAATGCTATATTGAAACCGGTCCGAACCGTTGTGAAGCCGACCGTCAGGTCGATATTGGTAGAATCGGTATACAGTATACGCAGTTGCAATTGGCACATACTCGTAGTGCAGTGGCTACGTTTGCCCAAAAGTAGATTTAATTGGGTCAACGCTTTGAAAATAGCATAATTATACTGCTACCGGTAGATTGCCATTGGTCAAAATTTTTTATTGAAGTTTATTAGTTATCTTTCATTCTGTTGTACAGTATAAGCAGACCGGACAGTGCATGCTGTAGCTGTTTAAGTGTGAAAACGAAGCGACTATTATCTAAGACGCACCATCAGTTACATAATGAACCTATTAAAATGCGATCTTGCTTTGATGCGGATGAAAATTCTTGGGTAAACTCTATAATGCTACTACTCTGCATTTATTGGCGATTGTAAGCTATTAGCGTTATATAATTAAGTAAGCGGGCATCTTGACAAACAAAGTACGTCGTACCAAGAAAACCGAACGTTCGGTAGACCGGAAGTGGAGACATGTGGGAGGAATGCCGGTTCTCTCACATACAAACCGATTGCAGCGCTATAACAAAACCTGCACTTATGTTTAAGTTTTGCGCGTTCACTTTTACGGCTGTTATCGGGCCTTTTTATGGGGAATAATGCTAACTCATCCCGTTCTTCATAGTAAATGTTTGCAGTAAAGATGATTTGTAAACCGGCAATAATTTGGCGTCTTCTGGGAGTTATCTTTTTCTCCGTCTTTATTTCGATAGAAGGTGGGTCATAGTAAATGGTGTACGTGGGTACATAAATTATCAAAATTAATAGCAATTTATGCGTAACCTTACGTAAAGAATGTCGCACATGCAGATAAGTATAAATATATATATTTATCTATATAATTATATCTATATAAGGATATACATACTGATACAACGCAATTGTACATGTGAATTGGAAATACTTACAACTATATACCGCCGCGCGGTACCGTACTATTTTGTAAAACCTTTTATTTCAGTCTGTTCTAGAATTAATCTTATTAAAAATATAAATAACTTACTTTTAACAGGGTTATTAGTAGTAATTATTGTACAGTGACCATGTAATGTAAATTTCAATGTGTTTCTAATAAAATGAACTGAAAATGACGGGTCAGCACTAAGTTATCCAATTTCTATACACACTGGTAGATAAATTAAAAAAACGTTTCCAAATCAGAGTATTTGGTAATGCTAACTGCAGTTAAATGTAGAGTGAAATATGTTTCAGGAAACGGTCTGTATGACCCATGCACGAGCACATTGTCATGTGGCGATCCGGGCTTGACCTGCCATGATGGCCGCTGTGTGTGCATCTTCGATAAAGGTCCGGAAGCTGTCCAGTTTTGGGTAAGCCTTGACAATAGAATTTTAAATTAAACAGTGCATCTTCTTCAAAATTGATTTGTCTCGATTAAATACGATACAATTCAAGTTAAAGATTTATTAACTGAAACTATGTGCATCACGAATATGAGTACTGTCCGTGCTTTTCCTACGTATCCGGCTAAATGAGGTACAGTTTTACAAATAAACAGTATTAATTTTTGGCATGTGGCTCAATTACTTGTATACATATACATACTTGTTAATTTTCCTCAGGGCTGCAACAACGTGCTAGACTGCGAGAGACCCATCCGGCTGGCGGCCGACCAGCTGTCCTATGCCGGACACCGGTTGGCATCGGAGATGCTCAACGTCGAAGAGCCGCAGTGTATCGCTTCCGAAGTATGCCCGAATCCGCGCGACCGACTCGGCTATTGCCGCGTCTTTTGGCCGGATGGCGACGCGGTCATATGAACGGCAGTGTGCGACAAATGTTTAACGCTCCATAATCTTATGTATAATCAGTCAAAATTGTAAACATTTTGATTAAACACGAATCGTACGATATAATCCAACAGAACATTACTAAATTTTAAAAATATCACACGGTCAAGGTAACACAAAAAAAGTCTTGCAGTCACAGTTTAAACACGTTTGTTCAATAATAATGAAGAAATTTTCCGCAGAGTCAAATAAAAACTATGCGCCTACAATAAAGTAAACAAACAGCATCGGGAATGAAAATCACCGGAAACACTATTCCGTTAAATAAAGATGCACACATGAACAGACACTTCAATCCATGAGCCGGGAATTCTTGAGTATATCAATGAATTGTTTCCAAAATATATCCTCCTACGACAACAATTATTATAGTTGTGCAGCAATTTCATATATCTGACGGTATACAGACTAATTATTGACTGACTGTTTAAAAATTATTCTGAAATTTCTCTCGTACATCTGCATTGCTGAGTATGCTATATTTTCACGATATTAAAGACTCTTGCAGTACTCGTATGGGGATTACCAATCAACTGCCTGCCATTACAATGCAGTCCGTTTCCTTCCTGAAATTGCGTTTGTAACAATCGAATCACCTTGTCTCAAGTTTTCGAGAGCCCGTGCCTTGGTATTTAGAAATTTTTATGTTGGTCTATATTTTATGAATGCATTGTCCCCATGAAAACTGATTTTACAAAATATGATGCCGAAAAATCTGTCTGGATTTCCGGATCAGTTGCTGCTGTTAGTTACGAGCATTGTACAAGTACATAGAATAAATATAATACAGATTATAAACCACTGGCTTAGAAATAATTCATTTTGATTCAACGCTTGTATTTTATTAACTTATTTTTTTATCGATTTTAGTCGAGCTAAAGATGACGAAAGGGAGAAGTAAAATGGACAATACCGACTGCACAGTTCTGTCTGTCAGTGCGAAATATACAACGACTATGGCGATAAAGTTCTGTCATTTTGTAAAGTACAGATAAATAATACATGTCTATTTATATTAGTACTCTTACCCTGCACATCAGATATTCCGAATTCCCGACGATGCATACATGTTTCCTGGCTCGCGACAATGCCATGTAGCTCATTTCCGGTGCGTTAAGGAATCCCTGACCAGCGACGGACAGATACGGATACGACTGGACACAACTAATCAGAATCACATCCTTCTCATCGTTGACGAAAGCGGATGGTAAGCCGACCTTCGGCAGCGGAACGCCGGGCATTTTCGCTTTCAAAAGATTTTCAATGCGTCGCATCTATTATAAAAAAACTTGCACAAGATAAAAAAGCATAACAGACAATATTTATTATCAAAAGGCAAACGAAAAATAAATCAACCGGTAAATTTAATTATAAAAGCGTGTCGAAGAAATGCGTTTCGGAGAAGCCAATAAAAAAGTATTATAAGACACAGAAAAATAGTCCTTCTGTGAGAATAGACGCCAGAATTTAAACTGCTATTCACCCGACCAGAAACGTACGATTTCCTCACCTGTCCCACAAAAGGCGTAATAATTCCCACTTCTTCAGTTTTAGTGCCGTCCGCGTTAATTTCCATCCAGTAATCAACAAGTTTCTCCGCTTCCTGTCGATTATATGGCGATAAAAGTGCGGCATCGGTGTACTGCAGACCATCACATTCACAGAAGTAGATCGCCGGTTGTCGGCTGTTTGGATTCCTAAAACATAAAGGTCAACTGCAATTTCGTGCAGCCAACAACCACAAAATACCACATTTCAACTAGATCTCTGCGAAAAATGTATCACCGCGTTTTGGTCCCCTGTATTAGTAGATTTAACATTTTCAGTTTAAATTCGTTTACACTTTTATATGACACATGAAATACATGTGCGGAATACCTGTCAGTAATTTCCGGATCATAACCAACATCCTCCCAAAACAGCGACGAGGGTAGCAATAAAGGGGGTGATTGGATGCGGTAATTCTTGGGTAGCGTGGTGACAAATTTCTGCGTTAAGCCGGTTTTACAGTAGTGATCCAGTAAACGAAACAACAGAGAATTCTGGAACGAAAATGTAGTAAAAATCATCCAGAAACATTTGCAAAAAATGTGGTTGATCAGAGAACTCCCATGCAGTAAAGTGTTCCAATACAGAACATATAACATCAGATAAATAACAGCACAATAGAAATATAACACTAAAAAATACTATAATAATGCAAATTTTTGCGTTAAATCGGTTCTGTAACAGTGGTTACCTTAACAAAACAGAGAATTCTATAGCGAAATATCGCGGTCGCAATTATTGCACCAATCACTCAGAAATATTTTGCAAGAAATTCTGCAGCTAAATTCGCCAATATTCACCTGCAATCCACATGCGCGCGCCACGTCCGCGCCCACTTCCGGCAGCAGCTGATGTACATCTCCGACTAATACCACTTTCCCGCTCTTGGCCCCGCCCAACAGGGCCACACTGGCCAGTGTTTCCGGCTCCGTCAGCATCCCGGCGTCGTCCACGATGATGTGCGTGAACAGATCGTGCTGCGGCTTGAACTGATCCGTCAGACGCATCACGGCGCCCACCGCGGCGAAGATCAGTCGGCTGCGAATGGCATGATCAACGGTGTCGGCGGTGTAAGCGTGGGAACGGATAGCCGGAGGAAGACGATCGGTGCCGGCATCGTTCGTCACGAAAACATACGACGGACTGTTCGCGGTGCACAGGAAAGACTCGATTAAGCGAACAACCGAGGCGTCGCTGTGTCCACAGACGAGGACGCGGAAGGCAGTGGAGTTGACCGTCAGCTGGTGCAGGATTTCCAAAACCACACTCGTCTTCCCCGTGCCTAAATTCCGGTGAAGAGTAAACAAAAACTGAATCAAAATATATAATAAAATATTGATACAACAAAATGTATCAATAAAACAAATAAAACAACAGGGAACTTTTGAGAGAATACGGTAACTACCAAATATAATACTGAATAGACACCCGTCACAGAACCCAACGTAATGAGATGGCATAATGCTGAAGAAGTTCGACCGATTTCAGTTGCAAACTTGCACTGTAAGACTTTTACTAGAAGTACTGTAGAATAATTAAATGTCGATAAAGGTAACCAGAAGAAAATTTTTTGATCAGAGGAACAGTAACTGGCGGTACTGACCTACTGTCAGACTAAATAAAAATCCGCAAAAAATCCTTATGTAAATTAAACGAAACCGGTTCACTTCGTAAAATAGCACATATTAGGCTAAACATTTTCCACTTAAAATCCCCAATTCAAAACTGCACACGTTAGTACCTGCTGCACCGGTGATGATGTACGGCGCAAAATCCACCGGTTCGTGCAAAGCCGAGCTGGAATCCCCGCTGCACACCCAGTCAACCGCCTTCCGCTGCACGGCATCCAGAATCGTGCTGCAGTACGTCCAAGCGCCGTTTTCGGCGAACGTCTCATCCAGCGCATCATTGTTTTCTATAGCCACCGGAAATAAAAATCGCGGTCCCATGGCACGGAACACCGATTCCACGGCATTGTGCAGCTGACGAAAGGCCACACGGGAACCAGCGCGGCAGATGTCCATCGTGGAATTGCTGGGCGGAGGGTCGGTGAAGGCGTGGTCCAAGCGGATGTGGATGGTCGGTGGTCGCGACGCGGTCTGGATCTGCCGACACAGAACAACAAAATGTAAAGAAAAATAAACTGTTGTAAATGAACATGTAATGTACGATGAATTACAATTTGAAGCCAGCTTTTGCAACAGTGGCAGATGCGCCAATGGAAGGAAAAACAGTGCATAACTATTGTAATTAAAAGACTATAAATAAATAAACAAATAATCAAAAGATAAATCAATAAATAGGCACGCAAGTGAACAACTCTACAAAAAAGCCTAGACCGGCATCTGACAGTTGTACAGGGAAACAGAAATACCTCTGTTAATTTTAATTTCTCAATTCCGTCTATCGTAGCATTTATTTATGCTGCAGTGTTGTTATATGTATTATATTTTAAATTAAAAACTGCATCATTTGCATGTAAGTAAATCAAAAAGGAATATACTGATTACAAAGTACGTACAGAAAGTTTCTATCAGTCACGAAATATGCAGATAAGGTAAAAGAGGAAAATATTTTAACTGTATAAAAAAAAATAAAGATAGGAAAGCAAAATAAATATCCAAATATATGTAATAAACTTTAAACGCAAGAGAAAACTACTACGCTCTACACCTCTTCAATTCGTCCACTGTGCGCTTGGAAATCACTCCCGAGATACGTTCCGCTTCGGACCAACAAAACACGATCCATTTCCCGTAATCCAGCCGCTCTCCCGTTGCGAGCCTGCACAGTTATTGTCGCGCAGTGCAAATTATCAGTGAACTGAACAATTTTAGCCTACGAACGGCAAAATGAAAAAATCTGTCAAAATTGTTTACATTATTTCCTTCCGGCAATCGTTAGCACGAAGTGCGACCAACAAATTAATAAACAAACAGAAAAAAAATAACAGTGATTACACAAATCACAAACAGTTTCGCGAACACATGATACATTGTAACGCCGAATTCAAACTCACTCTGGGAATGCGCAAATTCTCCGGCTGCGCGATACCATAGAATTCCTCACAGTACAGAAGCAGATGCATCACGGCCAGATAGTTGTCGGATCGCAGCGGCGCACTGAGAACAGGGAAAGCTTCCTGGACATTGTCCAGACAGTGGGCACTGCACAGGACAGCTAGAATGTGATCAGGAATGTGGAAGTGATGCTGATCGGTCGGCAACAATCGGGCCTGTGTGTTTCGAGCCGATGGGATGCGAATCTGCTGAACATGCGACATCTCACTAAAGCTCTGATAAGAAACTCAAGAAGATATTAGAAAAACTTAGCACCAAACTCCATCGTCATAACACCACAGCTGCAATGTGGTCTGGTAACTGCTGATTCCAATACAAATTTTGAAAGTTCTGGTATGTGTCTGAAAGTTTAAAGTGTTCTTGGATGCATAAAAAATAGCTGTTCTTCTCTGCACTTTTATGCTAGCGGAATCCCATAGAAAAGAACTGGGCAATAACTCATACAAAAGAGGTGGAGTTTGGTTCCGTATTTCGTACTGCAGTCAAGTTGTCCTCCAATACCGTCTCTTCTTTTTTCTTCAACGTGTTTTCGTATAGATTGTGAGTAAAGTACACTCACTACAATGTACAGTGGGCAGCGGCGTGAGTGAGTGTTAGTACACTTTTTTCTGCTCCTCCTCGTAGGAATTTCCTCACAACTTGCTTGTTAACAGTTTAAAATGTATCGTAGTCTTGTGACTCTTGTCGAACGTTTTAGCGCCCTTCGCTCAAGTGTCACTGCTGCGTTGTTATCGGCAGCCAAAACATTTTTCTTTGTTCCAGTAAGAACCCAACTATCGACGTTAAAAATGCCCGGCGAAATTGGCGACTTTACAAGGCGTGCATGTTCCGGGCTGCGAATGCTTCAACTAACGTTCTGTCAATGTACAGTGTCAATGTACAATGTAAATGTTCAGTAAACAATAAGAAAACAGAAAAACAAATACCATCATTCTAGTAAGTAACCATGGTTCTAATTACTGAGCAGGCTGTGATACGGTGGTCAACTCCAAGTGAGTGGCCAGCAGCCTTTTGGCAGCAGCCACATCGACATGGCTGACGTAGTCCTTCTCGGCTTTTCTGGCAAACAGCAGCTGACACGCAGCAGCGGCCGGGTTCGGCACGGGATGACATCTCGGATGGTCCTCATGGTACTGCAGATCTGCAGAGAAGCAATACGTGTCTCACAAGTGAAAGAACACATCCATACTAGAACAAGGGACCAGGAAGGACTATGGATTATCCCGCATAAACGAGAATCAAATAAATACATCTGAGTAAGCTGACTTTTATGAGACGAGTAACAATAACGGCAATAACTTTACAAATAATTACAAAATTGTCCTTAACTACCGAATAATCGGATTACGGACTGCACTAGCAGAAAATAATCATAAAACAAAGGATAACCCGATAGATAATTTAGCGCCGGATTGATGATTCAACCAAACATACAATTAACTGCGCTACTTTGTCAAACCAATAAATCAATGTCAACTGGAAGGGATTCTTCATATAAGCCGTGTTATTTTAAGACGGCGCGATGTTACATCATTACTAATGAAAAGGTATAAATCACTACAACTTGTAGTGATGTGATTGTAGTCTACAAGTAAAAATACTTGTAGTGAAAGATGTTTCACGCACCGTATAAATGCTCATCATTTTCCACCATCTCCGCTTTTTCTGGCAGTTTACTGAGCTTCACGCATGTTTCCAGAATGCTCGACCTACACAACCGGCCGTATTAGCGCATAATTAGTACAATGTTCTGCAGGTAATTACGTGTCAACAGAATGAGGCAAGAGAACGTGCAATCGGCGTGGTGGTTTCTTCACTCGTATTTCGACAAATATATCGTTTCCCCTTTTTAATTTATTCAAGTGTAGTTAATTTTTGTTCATTATATTCTGCTATTTTTACGTTCTCAAACTGCTCCCCTCTCGCCGTGCTTGCATCATTTCGCTAATATTTTTACTGGTTCCTGCTTTCAACGCGAGTCTGTACGAAAAATAAACGACAAAGTCAGTTTATTTCCTAATTTAAATTTGAAGCAGTACTCGTATCGTAGTGTCTGGCTATTGCTGCGATAATTATGAGTGTATTATACAGTTCACAACAAAATTATAAAGTCATAAACATATGACGTATATATTACAGCAAATCTTTTAAAAAACTAAGTAAACTAGCGTATAATAAGCCGAAAAAGAAATATATATACCATACCAACTGGCATTGTAGGGGCCGCCCAGCACGTCGCTCAGCAGCGCCACACAACCGACCATGCACAGCTTGCGCTTCAACGTCCCTCGCACGGTGAGCACATCCGGCAGCATGATGTGCTCCAACAGCATCGCAAACAGACTGTAATCGGGCTGTATCTGCAGTATAACAACACTGTCAACAACAAATATTCTTCGCTTGTAAGGAAATCTTCACTGCACACCGGAAAGAAAAGCAGGATGCACGCGGACACAACCTAGCAAGATTTTTTGCAATAAAAACCCGAATTTGCGCGGCAGCGGTATAATTATATGGTATTTCTGTTGAAAGACCGTATTGGATGAGTAGACCGCAATTCAGGCACAATCCGCAGAAAATAATTGACTGCATTTTTATTACAATAGCTTTCACAACTAATGGCAAAAAATGCTGATTAAAACGGATTCACTGGAGGAATTAATTCCGGGTGCAGTGAGTGCGTACCGCATCGAGAGTGCCAATGAAGGTGGCCGCTCCCAGCCGCACCACCATGAGATACAGGCTGGGCACCAGACCTGCAACACCACAATTACAGATGGCAGACATCAACCGAGAAAAATCAGTCTAGCCCGGCACGGCAGCAACCAACACTGGCGTACGTACTTTCCACCAGCAGATCTGTTTCATTATCCGTCAAGCGTTGGAAGATGGGGCGACAGATGCCATTTTCCAGATGCGCCTGCAGACTATCCCTGGTAACAAACAGAGAGATTAAGGACGCTCCGTATTCAGCCAGCAAAAACGAAAAGGCGGAGAGAAAGCGGCCTTACCGCGGCATGCTATCGATGATCGACCGCAAGAGGTTGAATCCTTCGTGGTCGTACTCCTCGTTCGACACCAGTATCGCGAACAGACCAAACGCCGCTTCCTGGAACAACATTACAAAAATACAACAACAGACCCGCCATTAAAAATTCATTATTTATTGATAACTATAAAAATAATAACAAGTCAAGCATCAATAATAATGATTAATTTAAACTCAATAAGTATTCAATAAATAACTGTAAATTAATGTAAATTATAATTTTTACCACACGTTGAAATTACTCGTGTGTTTTGACCATTGGGTGGTACTGGCGGTGTGCGACAGCCTTACCAGTCGTCCGACAACCTGCGCCGGACCGGCCTCGAAGTAGGCGCCCACCAGTCGGACCAGCGACGCCGTCAGCGTCTCGTTGCCGCGCAGCAGTTGCGGATCCAGCAGCCGATCCAGCAGCGGCAGGTAGGCGTCAGGAATGTCCCCACGACCGGCTCGGGTCTCCAGGAGCCGCGCCAGCAGTTGCAGTAGGTACGGAAGGAATGCTAGACAATTAACGCGGCTAGACACTCCCCAATCCCATCACACATACACAGTCCACCCAGCGTGCTAGTCTGACCTGCCACGGAATTCTCCACAGCATGGTTGGCAGTGGGTAGTAATTCCGCTTCCAGCATCTCCACAACACGCGCCTCGTCGGCCCGAGCCGCCACGCCGATGCACAGCGCCAGCGATTCGAACAGGTAATGATCGTAGCGCGCATATCCCGGGTTCTACGATAAATAAGATGCCATTCTACTATATTATTCCTGCATAAGAAAGCCTGCACAATTTAATGCGCGAGGCGGCGCGGTATAAAACAGTACAACCGCAAAACGGTTTCCTTCACTATCCCGATCAATCACAGCCGATAAGGGCCAAAATTAATAACAAGCGAACAAATATAAAAGATGCCATTAAACCCAGTGAAAAAAATAAAAAAAAATGTAGTTAAGCTCGTGAAGGACAATAATAAAACGAAGCCCGCAGCAGGATAAATGAGGAGGAAGAAAATCATTCATAAATCGCACAGAAGTACGATACAGTGCAGCAGCCATCAACACCCAGCTACTCACCTGGACGGCATACTCATAGTCAATCCGCTGCAGCAACTGCGGTATAATGTACTGCAAATGCGGCACTAATTCGCCGCTCAGCTGGAAGAAGGCTAATGCTCGCATAATACCTATGACACAGACGCATGAACATGCGAAATGACCACGGTTTATCCCGGTAAAGCCAAAAAATGATTAACGATATTCAACGTGTACATTTCATGGTGTATTCATTCTCATCCAGTCGTCCACCAGGATGCTCGGTGTCGAGCGGACGGTAGGCCAGCAGACGGGAGAAAAGCGTATTGGGTGCCGCGGAATTAAAGGGAGTGCCATCCATGGAGTCCAAAAACGGGCGGACTTGTGCCGGTGAAAGGCGTGACCGGCCGGTGGTGGGGTCGGTCAGGGAAAAGAGGCGCTGCAGGCAGTGGGCGGCGTACGTGTGCACCACCGAATACGCCGAATCCAAGTGGCCAACCACGGCGGGCAGAGCGGCCATCAGCAGTTCCACTGGAAGCTGCCAAATACAGTATCAATCACCAATCACACTACAACACGCGACACCATTACCCAGAGCGCGCACCCACCTGTGCTGCGAATGCCGCCACAAATTTCAGACAAGCGGCCAACAGGACGACGTGGTCTCCTAAAAAAATGCAATTAACTGTAATTCAACTGACAATTAAATTGTAACCAGATGACAGTCACAGAACTATCAGGTTAGAATGCAATCCATTACATTCCCAAGAAAAAGCCGAAGAAAATCCCCACAGCGCGCAATTATTACTCACCAGGACCGTCGAGGATGTGCGGTAGGACGTACTGCTGGCCGAACTTTACCACGTCTACGTGAGGATTAATCATCGCTGCTCCCCACTGCAATCGCCCAAATCTACACATCAGCGGCCGACGAGTACCGGCATTTACAAGAACCGCTCCTGGCGTACCCATTCTTCGCTGCTGTCCTTGGCCGCCAACGTCGCCACCAGAAAAATGGCACTCTCGTTATGCTTCCAATTACGCTGGGAATCCTTCTGAAATTCCTAAGTAAATACCGACAAGGAAATTATATTACAGCGTGAACTTCTGAACTACTCTAATACGCTGCAGAGACTCACAGTTAACAGATTCTCCACGTGGCTCAGCACGCACTGCGTGGTGCGCTGCTGGTGCTGTGTGCGAGCAGCCCGCAGCAGGTCAGCAGCTGTGCGCCGACGCGTATGGATATCTGCAACACAAGTTTAGCATGGGATCGATTACTGTAACAATTCATCGTCATCTTTCTTATCTGATTCATACTCTATACTCCAAAATCAAAAGCACAAGTACAAACAGACAATAAAAATAACTATGAAAGAAATCTGTGTAATTTTGCAGAGAAGCTAACTGAATTATTGTTCACGTTATGCAGACAGCTGTATGTCAACAATTGAGAAATTCCTCCAGAAACTCGATATACATCAATTCTGCAAAATAAACGACGGAAAAGACAATTCTTTTTCTCCCTGTTCATTCACTCACCGAAACCTTCAATATCACGACGGATAAATTCTTCCGGGTTAACAGCCAAGTCATTCACATCCGAGTCTACAAAGGTAATCAATCCCAGTTATCCAACCAACTGTTCAGAATCAATCTATCATTTCCAGCAAATATTTCCCATTTACCTCGCATCTGAATATTGGGCACGACAATCCTCTCGCAGACGTCCTCCAGCAAGCCCTGTTCACCAAATACATCCAGGTATTTATACGTATTCTGTGCCAACGCTCGGCTCAGGAATTCCATGCCACGGCATACCAGCTGAAATTCCAATTAAATGCCAGAATTCAATTTATTATCTCAACAGCGCATCAGTGTTGCACAGAACACCCCGGCTAGCGTTAATTAATCAAGAAGGCAATCGAGCAAACATTCTACGCTAACCATCAGTTAACACTACCCCATACCCGATCGTCCCGCATCAGCGGTGTGCAACTCTTCAGCAACGTAACAACCGTCTGCACGAACGACGCCGCATAAGGAGCCACTTCATGGACAATCTCGGCAAGCAACATGCTGAGAATTTCACAGATTTCCGCCTTGATACACTGGAGAACACCCGGCTGATCCTCATTCTACCGGCAAACCACCAACACTTCCGTACAACCAAAACATACACCAGCGATAAAAAAATTTATTTGATAAAAAATAAAACTTGTCTTAATATTAAACTGTAATCGAATCGTGTTTAGCGTAATAACTCAAGACAACTGCAAATATTTGTAATGCTGTTCATATTAAGATTTAATTGAATTTAATTTTTTATCGAAGCATTTAGCCACAGATATATCAGCTTACTCCGCTGCGCAGTTCGTAATTGACATAATGCAGTAGCTGGTCAAATGCCGGCAGCCAACCGCCCAACTGCGCCACCAGCCTACCCGGCACTTCCTGGAAGATCAAGCTGTGATAGATTTGACAGCCCAGCAGAAGGATCTGGAAGACCTTCTTCACAGAGCCCGTGGGTAATTTCTCCAGACGCCGGATGTGTTGTACAATATACTGAAAAATAGAAAGAGATGCATCTGTTTATAGCCTTATACAGCTTAAAAAGCTTTACAGCTAAAACTTAACGGTCATTTGAATTATTTCGAATTAATTCGCACATTGAGAGACCATAAATTTCCACCTACCTCGAATAACCATGTTAACGGGGAACTCAATTCACGCTGAACATGGAGAATCTCCTCCCACAGGGCTGTTGATTTGGCAGCTGTACGATAGCTGCCATCAAAGACATGCGCATTATTCAACTAAATGGCTACGCGCTCTGAGTTTTACTTGGCGCGAAATTGAACATTTGTCGCCATTCCAAACTGTATACGGTAAAACGTCCTTTCGTGTATAAAAGTGATTATCCTATCTATTTGTGAGTCATCAATAACATATACGCTGCACTTTTCAGTTCTGCAATACAATTTTGTGGCACCGAAAATCTTTCGCGCCAGCGTGTGTTCGTCCGCGTTGACATGACGATTATTCAATTAAATTAGCAAATGGAAACGACAGTAGGCGTCAGCGTAACGTTAAACTGCATTAAAAAGGTTTGTAATATTTAACTCGTTTCCTTCGAGTGTACTAAAAATAGTAAATTAACTAAAAACCATCAATTAAGCAACCACCATATTGTAAAAGTAATTAAAGATTATCAATAAATTAAAAATTATGAGTCAAATTAACCAGATATTATAAAGTAAATTAAAAAAGTTAAGTTAATTATAATATTAAATACTACAATATGATGATTCTTATGATGTCGGCGATACAATGCTCTATTGTTCAGTGAACTGCTCTGCATATCGTACTGCTTGAACAAGCCGTGAGCGGTGCGCAGCGAAGCCAGAATGGGATCAATTTCTCCTGTGTCGAAAACGGCTGTGAGATCAGGCAGCAAACTCCGCCATTTTTCTGGGAAGTCAATCCTGGCAATAACGCCGATAGTTTCGCTAATCTGACAACAAAATTCATGTTAAAAATTCAACAGAAAATTTACAAACAGCTACCACTATGTCGTCCATTAGAACAACATTCTACAAGAAAACGAAACAATCTGTCAAGAAATGCACCAAAAAGTCACTGGCAGCACAGAAGAATGCACAAAGAAGAGTATGGAAATTACAGTACATCCAAGACATTTAACTGATGTTAGCGCTTGTATTGAAATTACCTGTAATTCTATTTTCCATTTCTTGAAAACATTTATTCTTATTTCTCTAAAAATTAACTGAAAGGTATTAACAATTATCTAGTGCCAGTAAAAAAATGTTTTCTAATTTGATTTCCATGTATGAAAAGTTTGTATAAATCAATAAATAAATATGTATACGATGTAATAAAATATTAATTCGTTTTTTATTACAGAAACGAGAAATTTTATAATATTGATAATATTTGGGCCATAATCCGGCGAATCGATCAGCGCCTTTTTACTAGAGTAGTGCAACTGTTTTGCGTGATACTGTAAATTTTCCGATCATTAGCGTTTAATGAGCAGTAAGGAGATAAAATCTCACATTGTACCGCACGATCTGCGGGACGCCGTTCATGAGAGGGACCAAGTGCTGCTTCAGGAATTCGCAGCTGGCAGCGGACATTTGCAGGTCCGTGGCTGTCTTGTCGGGCGCCTGCATATCACACATAAGCCATATAAGTAGAACGCTTCTTCACTTCTTCGTAACACTGTTGCTGCGGTGAAACATCCAGATTCCATTTCTTACCGGCCAGTGCTTCTGGACGTAGTGGTGCAGTGCCAGCGCGGCGGACAAGCGAAACGCCACATCGCAGGATTCGTCATCGATAATCGACACCAGACGCTGTCCAACATCGTCTTCACTCTGTTGCAGCTGCTGCAGAGATGGCTGGCCTACGACAGAGACAGGTTGTTACATACACCGAATACCTTTCTCTTCGCTTCTAACGGTCAGCTCACCATCCTGACGTCGGGACACATCAGGCAGCAACGTCAACTGCAGGCACTGGGGCGTCAAATCCCCGTTATTCGCCATGCTTCCAGGCTCCAGCACGCTTTACGCAGCACTTGAAAGCAAAGCGAGCAACTCCCCGCGCCACCGAGTGCCGTCGCAGCCGTCAGACACGGATGCCACTCTTACACGATGAATACTCACAATCGGTTAGTTATACTGATTCAGTCTGATTGCTATCGATAACGAGTGGGAAAAACAGAAGAAAAATCAAATACTTCCAGTCGTTGAGCATCCAGAGTGGAAAAACGACAACAATCTGCACATCGAAACAGATGCGGGTAAGGACATGCGACTGCACTGCCAATGCGTTGAGCGCGCTGGTGTTCGTTGCGACGTCGGCCAAGTGCAATGCGGGTGACGTCGACAAGGCATACCACCTCCGGATGTCGCAAAACTCGCAACACTGCAATAGCTTTACTGTGTTTAACTTTGCAGTCTCATAACTTATTTCTGATTTTTTAATCGAAAATAGTTAATTTTTGATACCATTGTCATTTGATCTAACAATAAGTCGATAATTCCAACTAGTGCTAAATTCAGTAAATTAATGCTGTTCAGTAAATTGCTAATGCTGTTCTCTGCGCACTTGTACGTCAAAGTTTAATGTTATAATTCTACGCTGTTGTCGATTTCAATAGTTCACTTTGAAAATTTGTCGATTAAATTTTGTATTCACAAATTTTATAAAATCTCAAAAATATTAAAATAATTAGTGCACATTCAGAGCCGGTACTGTACTTTCGATCATACTGTGCTAAATTATTTGAACAAACTTTTGCTGTTGTTTTGAGTGCTTATGAACAACCAACATTTATTGAGTTCCGTATGCTGTTATGCGGCAAAAAACCCTTTAAGCTTTAAGAATAAATACTCACGCATGCAGTTAAGTTAATAGTGAATTTCTCGTTAAATAATTACAGTTTACGTATGTTACAGATTGAGAATTAAAAAAAATTGCATTTTACAGGTACTGGAGCTGATTGCACTGTAATTAGACACTTAAAAATTATACATTAATGATAAATAAGTATAACTGTATAGTCACTTGTGCGCTACGTTAACCTTTCTTTATCTCGTATATACACCAAAACATTTGGAGAGACGCCAAACAGACCGTTCGTTTCCGGCATGAATTTAAGGCAGACCAAAGTAAAATGTAAAATTAAAAATACTCGTGTAAAGAATACACGACGGCGACGGAGTCATTAGTTCGTATTTATCTTAGTCGTCCAGCATTGTTGTGCACCACGGTGTCTACAAATGCCGATTACTGTGCACCACAAAAGGATTCATAACTTTTCTGAAAATAATCATTTAGCGCATAGTGCTTGTGTGCTTGTGACTTCTATAGACCGGCATCATAATTGTATCCTGCGGCTGTTTATAACTTTTTTATTTAAAAGAAATGTGTTGTTGTTGCAATATTAATTTTCAACTCACCTGCGTTATATTACGCAGATATAGTAATACTACATCTGGTATTATATGTATAACATTATATGAGGAATTATGTAAAATAACTTTATAGATGCGCACTAAGTACAGCACTTGCACGAGTGCTACAGAGTAGTCGGCTTTCGGCCAGCATCTGATCAATGGTAATTGGCAAATAAAAAATAATCTAAATTACGTTAGCCGCCTGATGTTGCGCGCCCATTTCTTTAAAAATTATATTCTTGGTAAGTATGTACGTGTAACTTACGAAGTATTATTTTTTGGTACTATTGATATTATTGGAAAATATTAGACTGTGTGATTTTATTATTGCTAGTGAAAAAACATTTTAGCTACAGTACTCTGGAAGCCGGCATCTGCCTACTTCGAAGTGCTTATTTTCGACCTACAAATTACAATTCAGTGCAGTTATTGCAAAAGAATTTTAAAAAAGATGCGGCAAAATCTTTAGCGTAGTTAAAATTTCACCCGATGAATGCAAGAAAACGGATATTTTAAATTTTCTCGACGGACTTTTTGAAAAAATGGGGAGTCCGAAGGTGCATTTTTATGCTGGCGCCTCGGTAAAATTTTATAAGTAATTCACCGTTGCATTCCACAAAATTCGCCACAAAATTTTATGATTCACCGGTACATTCCACAAAAATCCAAAGGCGTCGCGAAATTGCTTAAATGCACTATCAGCCAAAATATAAGAGCTTATTCCTTAAAATCGTAAACCGGAATTTCGTGGAATATTCCGGTGAATTATAAATTAACTTTGACGTACCTAGTGAACAGCATTAGCAATTTATTGAATTTGGCACTTAATGACTTATCGACTTATTGTTACATCAAATGACAAAGATATTAAAAATTAATTATTTTCGATTAAAAAATCAGAAATAAGTTATGGGACTGCAAAGTTAAACACAGTAAAGCTATTGCACGTGTTGCGACATCCGGAGGTAGTATGCCTTGTCGACGTCACCCGCATTGCACTTGGCCGACGCCGCAACGAACACCAGCGCGCTCAACGCATTGGCAGTGCAGTCGCATGTCCTTACCCGCATCTTCGAAACACACGACTGCCAGTGGAATGCCAACCGCCCCGAACCACATGCTTATACAATATACATCTAGGAACATTTTTATCTACACTGTAGTACGACTCACACTCAGCCTGTACGAGTATATAATTTGAATCTAACTAATTAATTTTGAATTTGTACGAGTATATAACTGTATTACATCAAGTACAAATTTGAATAATTTCTACCATTTTATTTAGTGTGCACTGTACCAGCGTTGGCTTTTTATTCTCATTAGTGGGCCTAATGGCCATTGCCAAATAAAATACGAGTATGTAAGTAATACTTATTAATCTTTCTTTCCTGCATAATTATTTTTCTTTCATTGAATTCGTTTCTAATTTTTACCGTTTCTTTTCATTCAGCAACAATTGTGGATTTCTACAAAAATTATTTTCTATTTTTTTAAATTTGTCTTATTTAGCAATATCTGTAATTTTTAATTTTTACAGTTTGTTTTTCTCCTGGATTACAGACACTCAGACGGTTTTTCTTTGAATTTATTGATCGTCAGATTTTTACTTACTTAACTGAACTTGATAATTGACATTTGACAATAAAAATTATTTTTGCATTTTTTACGAACGCTGCCGATGCTAATCCACGCTGCACTGTGGGTGCCGACAGGATAATAATAATAACAAAATCAAATAAAACACAAAATAAATTAACACGCAAGAGAAGTTTCTTTCCCTAGGGTGCCATGTGTTCCAAGTTACGACGTTCAATCGGTATCCGCCCAGTTTGGCAAAAGAAACTTCCATTTTTTCAGATCAAGCAAAGCCTCATGGATGCAGAAATGAATGGAACGGGCAACATAACATGCATGGAAACCGTGTAAAATTAAATAAAATTCTCGTAATCGACGCGCGGAGAAGTAAACGTAAGGCGGACCGATAACCTACAGCAGGACAATAAATTAATAAAAAATTCTCCATTAAATAAAAAATGCCAAAAATAACTTAAGCAATTTTTTCCTCGGCACACAACACAAGTATTATTCTGCACTTTATAGGAAGTCACTAAGAAGCGGGCCAGGTCACTTCGAAGGTTGGTTTAATCCGCAATTTGGCGCAATACAGGAGGAACTGCACCATGCGAGTGCACTTTGCCGGCTCATATCGAAGCGGCTGTCCTACTGTGGGATCGGGGAAAGGTTTCAGATAGGAAGTTGACGAGCGGGGATCGCCACTCTGACGGTGCTGGATTATCTGTAAAACGTTGTGCGTATCAATTCAGCTGTACGTTAGTACTGTACGTACGTCAGCTAAAAACCATCAACGCTATATCCGTAATTAACGTATCGCGCGCCGCGCGCTGCTGCCAAAAACGGCGTGGCAGTATTTGTTTACGCTTTTTCTATTAATTATGGCCAGTATTATTAGCCTGTCTAGCTTTACCTTCTCAGAACGGTCACTTAGCCCACAACTGATCACATTGTCAATCACGTGCCACTGGTGAAGGGGCACTGGGATTCCCTGCTCAATCATGTCCCACCAGTCCTCAATATGGAGACGCCGGCCGTGGCTCATCCGTCCCAAAGCGATGTGGATGGTGATCGGCACATAGCCATCCAACCAAGAGTCTACCTCACACGTAAAGTTCTTCACGGTCAGCGTATGACAAATCGCCGCCAATGAGTTGAATACATCGCGCAGACTGTTAATGTAGTCCTCCTCCTGAACACGTTGCGGCGTATGTTGGACATGAATATCTTGCAACAACAGATGCTGTGGGAAGTTTTCGGATCGTCCTTGCATGACCGCGGTCAGGATGTGCGCATCAATCAGCGATAAGTTGCGCAGTTTCACTGCTTCGTGGTGTGCGGGCAGCGGCAGGCCAACCATTGCCACCGTCCGATTGCTCCAACAGCGCTGTGCGCAGGCTACAGCCATGTAAATGCCTCCCGGCGTAGGTGCCCGATCGGTGGGAAAATTAATGTGCAGTAGTTGGGTGACCTCGGCTGAGGTGAGGATGTAGTTCCAGCCGGCGCGTACCGCCCGCAGACGGCACTGATCAACGGTGGGCAGATTCTGCATGATTTCCGCAACTACGTTGCATGGCAACAGTCCGACATCGCCGTCCACTTCACTGGGTGGCAAAGGCTGGATCTCGCTCGCCAACGGTCGATATACAGTAGGTCGCTGCAATTAATCATCAATTCGATTTACCCACCAATCACAGCACAGAATATTGTCGTACAATTTTATTATTTTATACACCTTGCACATGATGTTATGAGTTTTTGTTCACGTTCATAGTTTTTGTTTTTTTTTCGTACTGATACACTGGTATTATTCTATAAGTGTGCCGAATGAAATTTTTCTTTGCACAGCATACTCTTACGTAATACTCGTTGATTGTCTCTCCACACTGCTCGCTAACCATGTTCAGGAATTCATGCGGGAACAGTGCAGCTGCCTCCGTACTCGTAGATGGGCGTCGGATTCGATCCTGTCGGACCACTGTTTTTACCGCCGTCCAATTCCCATTCGAATCCCGCGTGCGAACGGTCACTATGGCGAACTGGCGGTGCGCCCAATCGTACACGACGACTTCAGCCGGCTGCCACATCCACGGCTCCAACAGACTGCTGCAGTCCTGCATCAGCACCTCCACTGGCTCGCTCAACCCTGTCACCAAATATACACGTCAGTGTAACATGCAATTAATTACATTTCAATCCACATAATCACATTTACGCACCCACATTTACGATGCACCCACATAATCACATTTACGCTTCACATTCGCAAAAAACCGTGCAGTACAGTTTATGTTCCTCATCGTTATTCATACATTATACTAATATTTATTCTAGTTTCTTTCTTCCATCTACCTTGTTCGTAGGGAGCTCCGTCAGTTCGCGTACGCGGCACGAAGTACTCTTGCGTGCGGGCTACGCGTACTATGGCCAGGGCAACCGGCTCAGTCGGGCGGTAGATGCATCGAAAATCCACAGCCAGTCCTCCGTCGATAGCTGCGAGCGCTTGGCCACATTGAAGCACTTCATCTTCTCCTCGCACTTCCACGATAAGCGGGTAATTGGCCGTGGCGCGCATCCACTTGCGGCGGCCACTCCTCCACTTGACACCGTAATCCATTGCTAAAAAATCAAGAGAATAATTGTGGGTATAAATGGGTAGACTGGGATGTGCGTTTGTCTTGAAGGACTAGGTAATCAAATGTAGACATCCAGAGACAACTGCACAACTTTACCCAGCACGCAGTGCTGCATGATAGCGCTTTTCGGTGATAGCCACCGCACTACGATCTATTTTTTGCATAATTTTCTGCCGTGTATTAATTTCGTTCTGCGGCTACTCAACACGACGAGCACAAGTACGGTGTCTGTGCGTGTCCAGAGCGCATAGGCCATAGAAGAGTGAAAGGTCACCGTTACAGGTGGTAGGGAACGATGTCGAAGCTAGATTCGCGCACCCATTTCGTCCGGCGGCTAGCGCCAACAAGTAAGTAGTGTATTATTGTTATTTTATCTTAGTACGCGCTTACATTTATCGTTATTTTGATACCATACCGCAGTACATAAGGTAATACGCTCAAGGTTGGACTTGCATTTCGGGTAGGACTAAAAGTTCGAAGCAGTAGCAGGGGGTCTTTGTTTCGGGGTGGATTTCTAAATCGGGGAAGGTGACCAGTAATTTGGTAAAACTAAAATACCCTAAGAAATAAGGATGCTATGTTAGATATACAGATACGGTACATCCTTTATACTAAAAGAATAAGAAGTGCTCAAAATTCAACTGCGGGGAGTCAGTCCCAGCCACACACAGGACCAAACTTCGATGTCTTGGTATCATTCGATAGCTCTTATCGTGTAGTAGAGCCATCAAAAGTCAGATCTGAGAAAAACAGTTCCAGTTTCATAAAACATTGAAAAAACTTAACATGCCGAGTCTACGGGAGAAGTGAAGAATCCACCACTGCAGAACCGACCACCTCACCATTGTCTCAAATAAACAGCCAAAAACCACCTTGCTGCCAAGCAGCAGTTCCAGTGAAACGCCTCCAGAGCGTTTCACTGGAACGAAACTTGAATGTTTATAAATTATAGGGGAGCCTCGCGTTTTTATTTTTTCTCATCGGAACTCAGACTCCGAAAGAAAGGAGAGTCTGATGAAAAAAGCAACGAAGATCTGGAGTCGAAGCGTATCGAACAGTTTCCACCATGATCATTAAGACAACTGCCCTCCGCAGGAGTCTGACCAGTTTTAAATTAAAGTAAGTAGCATACCAGCAACGCGTCCACGGGCAGCAGCTGGTGAGCAATGGAAGTAGGCACTTTTGGCACAGTGAGCGGGCTCGAGAGCAGTAAAAAAAGGTTTTCTAAAATTTCTGTTTTGTAAAATGTGTGGCAACCAGCAGAAGGCAAAGCAGCAAGGGAGAAAAATTTTTAAAAAAATCGTTGTAAGTCAACAGCCATGGCGCCACCCCTATTCTGCTCGGTGGAGTTAAATAAATACCGTACCGTATTGCGTATTGCAGATCGCTCATACTACAAAATACCATATAATAGTGGTAGCTGTTGGACTGAATTATCCTCAGAAGTCAGAACGGTATGTAGCCGATCTAAACCGCGCAATTTGCGCGGGGTCTATCATTCGATGGATTTTACTCCAAGTCAGTTACTCTGCAGAACCAGGAAAAATTAGATCTGAGAAGAGGTGGCTCCAGATGTCACGGAACATTATAAGTCTTTCCTTTGCGTCGTAAATTTTTGAAAATCTGATTTTTTCCTTTATGAGGAATAAGAACCGAAGGCGGAGCCGCAGGCGACGCCCGATGCCAAGCTGCGGCGCGAGCGGAACATCAAGTGAGACATTAATCGTGGCAATATTTTTTGCCCGAGACTGCATTCCGCTTTCCCACCACTTCCTATACTTCGTACTGATACTTTCGGATTAAAGGGCAGGGGTCGAAAAATTATTTTTACGGAGGGGGTAGACAGAAACCAGAAACACGAGCAATGTCTGCTCCTTAGTTCTGATGGTGAGTCATAGACTCATAGTGCTGTTTCCGGTATTAGACTTGGGGATTTACAATTGCTTCAACTTTGTGACGTTGCCACGAAAACATTATTCGCACAAACAATACAGTGCATGATAGTGCTGATGACACAAAAAAACCGTGATCTTCGTCACCAAAAGTTAAATAATGATGATATCCTTCTGATTTTAAATCGTTCCTATTACGTAGCCGATATATTGCGCGCAGTTTGCGCGGGGTCTACTAGTATATATATAATATACAAGAAACAGCCTCGGCTTCGCCTCCGCGTTTCTTGGGTTCTAAACTCCTTGGCCGGTTTACGGATTGTTAACTTAGAACGGATAAATCTGAAGAGCCCAATAACAAAAATTTTATAAAAAAATGGATGTTTTGGTTTCGTGCAGTCGAACGCAATTACTTTGACTTTACAGATCATTTTTTGTTAAATTTTCTTAGCGAAAAACCATCCGAATCTAATCACCCACGAGAGTATCACATTACAAACTAAAAGGACGCTAAGACTGGACAGTGGTGCTAGATAGGTCACCCATTTAGAACTTAGCAGGCGCTGCTCTATTTTGTTCAGTAATATTGCAGTTTGGTCATGCGTTCACCTAACGGGCTCTGTGTATGGATAGCTTTGGTAGCTCGGTCACCCACCATACCTAACGGGATCTATGCAAAGGACAGTACTGGTAACTCGGTCACTAGATCACTTAACGGAGTTTATGCGCTGGACAGTAGTGCTAGCTCGCTCATTAGATCACTTAACGGAGTTTTTCGTGCACTGGACAGTATTGGTAGCTTGATCACCCATCTACCTAACGGGATCTATGCACTGGACAGTATTGGTAGCTCGGTCACCCATCTACCTAACGGGATCTATGCACTGGACAGTATTGGTAGCTCGGTCACCCATCTACCTAACGGGATCTATGCAAAGGACAGTACTGGTAACTCGGTCACTAGATCACTTAACGGAGTTTATGCGCTGGACAGTAGTTCTAGCTCGCTCATTAGATCACTTAACGGAGTTTTTCGTGCACTGGACAGTAGTGGTAGCTCGGTCACGCGTTCACCTAACGGGCTCTGTGCACTGGACAGTATTGGTAGCTTGATCACCCATCTACCTAACGGGATCTATGCACTGGACAGTATTGGTAGCTCGGTCACCCATCTACCTAACGGGATCTATGCACTGGACAGTAGTGGTAGCTCGGTCACTAGATCACTTAACGGAGTTCGTGCACTGGACAGTAGTGGTATCTCATTACTCTTTCACCTAACGGGTTCTGGGCACTGGACAGTGGTGGTAGCTCGGTCACGTACTCACCTAGCGATTTTTTGACGCACTCAATCACTAGGTGAGCGACTGACCGAGCTCAACCTATCCAGTAAGAAATATCGCTAGGTAAGGAGAAAAATCGCTAGGTGAGGATGTGACCCTGCTACAACTACTGTCCAGTGCACAGAGCCCGTTAGGTGAGCAAGAGCAAAGCCCGCTCGATGACTCACTCACCTAGAAATTTCGCTCAGTGGGCAGTAATGGTGTTTCGGTCACTCACTTGTCTAGTGATTTTTCTTACTGGTCAGTGGTGGTAGCTCGGTCACCCACTCATCTAGAGATTCCGCTCAGTGGTTGGTGATAGTGTTTCGGTCACTCACTCGTCCAGTGATTTTTCGTACTGATTTTATATTTGATATTTTTACATTTTTATATCGGTTGATTTTAAACGTGTTTCGAGCTCGGCAACACCGGCTGGAATGTTTGAATAACGCGAGTGTTTGAATAAGTACAATAATTTATTTATTTTTCGGTTTAATTAGTGTGATAATTATGTCAATTGGTATTTTGTATTGTATCTAGGCAAATATTTCTAAGTTTCAAGGTGACCTTTAAGATGGGTTGGATCAATCTGGTCTTGATACCGGCTTGATACCGGCTCGATATTTTCATAAAAAAAATACATGCCGGCCACTTCTGAACTATCCCGGATCTAATGGCGTTGTCCGTTTTTCCAGAAGTTTTATGGTTATAGAGATCTCAAAACTATGGGGCACCGCGCGTAGTATAGATCTTGTACTTAATATATACAAGAAACCGCTGCGGCTTCGCCTTCGCGTTTCTTGTGAGCCACGGCCGCTTTGAACAAATCATAGCATTTACAGTATTTCGGTAAATTGACTAAATTCACTAACTAGTTATTCCTTAATTAGTTAATTCCTTAGCAGTTATTGTAAAACACTTTTTAGGTAAAGAGTCTAGCTCGGTCACTCACTCATCTAGGAATTTTATTCCCTGCACAGCGGTGGTAGCTCGGTCACTCACTCACCTAAGCGATTTTGTTCACTGGACAGCGGTGGTAGCCCGCTCACTCACTCACCTAAGCGATTTTGTTCACTGGACAGCGGGTGGTAGCTCGGTCACTCACTCACCTAAGCGATTTTGTTCACTGGACAGCGGTGGTAGCTCAGTCACTCATCTACCTAGCGATTTTGTTCACTGGACAGTGGTGGTAGCTCGGTCACTCCACTCACCTAGCAATTTTATTCCCTGCACAGCGGTGGTAGCTCGGTCGCTCGCTCACCTAGCAATTCTGCTCACCTAGCGATTTATTGCTCGGTCATCACTCACCATGCGATTTCCTTTTGTTTACTGAAAAGTGGTAGTAGCTGGGACACTCACTGCCCTAGCAGGTTTGTTCACTGAGTTTTGTTTCCTTCGAAACCTGGGCTAATTCAAACATGGTTCGGCAGTCGGATTTTTTTAGGCATTTGAACATTGAACATTTGAACCTTTGAACATTTGAATAGCAATCAGGCGGTTAAAATTTAGCATGCCTGCAAATAACTACAAATTTATTATAGTACATATATTTGATTCTTTAATAAACGTTCTAAGCAACTGGCACTGTAGTAATCTCAAGGTCACCTTGAAAGCTTTACCGAAACCAGTTTCGTCTGAACCGGCATCGTTGGGACGGGTTTAAATAATTTTTTTAAGAAATAAAATGCATGTGACACAGTTTCTGAACATGTTGAATCTAATGGCGTTTACAGTTTTTTTTTATTAGGTTCTGTAGGTTTTATAATAGG